ACATTGGCAAAAATCGAACATTTCCGCTACTTTGAGCTCAATTTCAAGGTCGTTTTCATCATGAAACTAATCAAAATCATCTCTATTTCTGTAATATGTTTTCCATTTTATCACGAGAGACCATGAAAACGAGAATACATGTACAACGATAAATACTATACAAAAATACACCTCAAAGTCAGCTTTTTAATCCAAAAAAACGGTCAGTTTTTTTTTTTCTCATTATGCACTGAGTGCTGCAGGATTTTTTTATGCGGTGCACACTGACCACACAGACCCATTCCTTCACATGTGGGCCTACCAGCTTTCTCCTGCTTGATTTGAAGCCGCTAGAATTTACGCGTATAAATACGTCGGAAACTATGGCGCGTAAGACGTATATATACGACCAAAACAGTCAAAGGGTTAACAAACATTAAGCATAACTCAATAATCATGAACTGAAATTATTGCTGTAGTTGAGAGAATTGAACTACAAGGAAACATTACACACTATATTTCTTGTCCTACGTAGTAGGTTGGTAGACAGCAACCACCCAGGGAGGTACTGCTGTCCTGTGGTAGTAGGTTAGTACACAGCAACCGCCCAGGGAGGTACTACCGTCCTGCCAAGTGAGTGTAAAACGAAAGCCGGTAATTGTTTTACATGATGGTAGGATTGCTGGTGTCCTTTTTTCTGTCTCATAAACATGCAAGATTTCAGGTACTTCTTGCTACTTCTACTTACACTTAGGTCACACTACACATACATGTACAAGCATATATATACACACCCCTCTGGGTTTTCTTCTATTTTCTTTCTAGTTCTTGTTCTTGTTTATTTCCTCTTATCTCCATGGGCAAGTGGAACAGAATTCTTCCTCCGTAAGCCATGCGTGTTGTAAGAGGCGACTAAAATGCCAGGAGCAAGGAGCTAGTAACCCTTCTCCCGTATAAATTACTAAATTTAAAAAGAGAAACTTTCGTTTTTCTTTTTGGGCCACCCTGCCTTGATGGGATACGGCCAGTTTGTTGAAAAAAAAAATCTCTCGTCCCTGAAGCAATGCAAAAAATATTAATCTCTCATCCCTGGCGCAACGCAAAAGAAAATAATTTCTTATCCTGAAGAAATAAAAAAAAGAACTCTCATCCCTGGAGAAATGAAGAATAATACCTCTTGTCTCTGGCGAAGTGCAAAAAAAAAAAAAAAAAAAAAAAAAAAAAAATTATCCCCAAAAAATTTATGCGATCTATAAATACAATACATTGGGGCATAGAAAGAGTAAACAAGACCAGACTCTTTCCTAGGATAAGATGCAGAATACGAGAACATGAATGACAACTGCATACAAAACATAGTCACATAGACATATAATGAATATAATGCAGAGAATTCGTAGTTTGGAAGTTAGGAGGAGGTGCGGAATTACCAAAACTGCTGTCCAGAGGGCTGAGGAAGGGTTGTTGAGGTGGTTCGGACATGTAGAGAGAATGGAGCGAAACAGAGTGACTTCAAGAGTGTATCAGTCTGTAGTGGAAGGAAGGCGGGGTAGGGGTCGGCCTAGGAAAGGTTGGAGGGAGGGGGTAAAGGAGGTTTTGTGTGCGAGGGGCTTGGACTTCCAGCAGGCATGCGTGAGCGTGTTTGATAGGAGTGAATGGAGACAAATGGTTTTTTAATACTTGACGTGCTGTTGGAGTGTGAGCAAAGTAACATTTATGAAGGGGTTCAGGGAAACTGGCAGGCCGGACTTGAGTCCTGGAGATGGGAAGTACAGTGCCTGCACTCTGAAGGAGGGGTGTTAATGTTCCAGTTTAAAAACTGTAGTGTAAAGCACCCTTCTGGCAAGACAGTGATGGAGTGAATGATGGTGAAAGTTTTTCTTTTTCGGGCCACCCTGCCTTGGTGGGAATCGGCCAGTGTGATAATAATAATAATAATAATAATAATAATAATAATAATAATAGACATTATAAAATTTTTGTCAATATGAGAGCAATAAAAAGATGGAATGAGAATTTATATTAATAGAGAAGCTAACATCTTGCAGGAGTATCATTATTTTGCCACATCAGTTGTTTCCCACCAAGGCAGAGTGACCCAAAGAAAGAAACACAATCATCATCATTCATTCAATAGCTTCTTGTCAGAAATGCATGGACATCACAATTTAAATGACCCTATGAATTACAACAGGTACATTAACTTCAATTTGGCAGAAACCCCACATCCCCCCCCCCCCCCCACAAACACACAAGGGTTCAAGAGCTGTGACTTGACCCCTGCAATCACATATAGGTGAGTAGGCACTCACACAAATAGGTTTCTTGGAGAAGGAGGGAGTGTGTGTAGCCACTAGCAAAGAGGCAGGGCCAGGAGCTATGACTCAACCCCTGCAACCACATATAGTCGAGTAAAACACACACAACGAGCGCATGCACAAATGCAAACAAAAATACAGTGGACCCCCACATAACGATTACCTCCGAATGCGACCAATTATGTAAGTGTATTTATGTAAGTGAGTTTGTACGTGTATGTTTGGGGGTCTGAAATGGACTAATCTACTTCACAATATTTCTTATGGGAACAAATTCGGTCAGTACTGGCACCTGAACATACTTCTGGAGTGAAAAAATATCGTTAACCGGGGGTCCACTGTACTAACAAATCTTTAACCCTTTCAGGGTCCGTCCCGTAGATCTACGGCTTTACGTTCAGGGTCCAAACCGTAGATCTACGCCATGAGCTCAGCTCACTCTGATAAACTGTGAGTGGTACATTTGGCCTAGATATGAGAGAATACATCTTTGTGGTATGTGTGCACCACATAAAACATATCCTGCAGCACACTGTGTATAATGAGAGAAAAAAAATGAAATCATGATTTTTCGATTAAAACAGCAACTTTGCAGTGTTTTTTTCGTATGTTTTTTATAGTTTATTTGCGATTTCTTGGTCTCATTTGATAGAATGGAAGACATATTACAAAATAGAGATGATTTTGATTGGTTTTAGCAATGGAAATGGCTTGAAACTCAGCTCAAAGTAGCAGAAATGTTAAATTTTTGCCGATATTCAAGAGTAAACAAACGACCTCACACGTCTAATACATGTCAGCTGGTGGGTCTAATATACATTCAAAAATATGGTGATGATATTTATACAATTATTACAGTATTGCATAACAGTAAATCTTCTATTTTTGGTGTGAATAAAAATTCATTATGTGAATAAAAAATCAAAATGGAATTTATTTGTAAAGCCTCAAACATAACTAATGAACAGAGGAAATGTTAGTTTAGTGCCAGGAATGCCTACATTGTTCATTCTGGACCCTATTTTGAAACTGGAATATTTTGAACTTTGTGTTAAATTGGCCAAATTAACAATTTCCGATCACTTTATTTTGTAGTTGAAACATTTTGACTTGGCGATTTCTTGTGCTCAATCGATAGAATAGAAGTAATACTAGTGAAATAGCTAAGAATTGGTTGATTGGAATAATGTAATTGGCCTAAAATGGGAGTCAAAGTCGGCAAAATCGCCGATTCGTAAATATTGCTGACACATCAAAATTCGCGAGAGCATAATTTCGTCAATTTTCCACCAAATTTCGTACTTTTTGTTTTATTACCTTCACAAAAAGATTCTCTACGATTTCATAAGAAAAAATAATTTTTTTTTTTGAAAATTCTTGGACACTGGTGCGTGACTCCAGATTTGGGCCTTGGACCCTGAAAGGGTTAAAATTTCAGATTTTTACATATTAACTCCCAGAATGGTATGGATTTTTTTAAACACACTGGCCATTTCCCACTGAGGCAGGGTGACCCTAAAACAAAGACCCCCCCCCCCCCCACCAAAAAAAAATTTCATCATTGTTCAACACTTTCACTATCATTCATACAATCATTGTCTTTGCAGAGGCACTCAGATATGCCAGTTTAGATGTCACTCCAAACAGCCAATATCCCAAACCCCTCTTTTAAAGTGGAGGCAATGTAAGTTCTCCCTCCAGGACTCAAGTCTGGCTAACCAGACATAAGATGCTATGTAACCGTATTTATGTACTTCTCCATGGGTAGGTGGAACAGAATTCTTCCTCCGTAAGCCATGCATGTCGTAAGAGATGACTAAAATGCCGGGAGAAAGAAGCTAGTAACCCCCTTCTCCTGTATACATTACTAAAGTTTAAAAGAGAAACGTTTGTTTTTCTTTTTGGGCCACCCTGCTTCGGTGGGATACGGCCGATTTGTTGATAGAAGAAAGAGTTATGTACCTGTGTCTGAATAAATTTACTTATGTCTCTTAGCCATTTCAACTTCTCGACATTAAGTAAAACATGAATCATCTAAAATTATGATCACTGCACTAGTAATCTATTTTTTTTTCACACACACCTGCTGCCTCCCACCGAAACAATGCAACTCAAAAACTGGAAGCATTCACCATCATTCAATTATTACAGTAACTATTATTTTTGCTAAATTAAATCCACCAACAATAGTATTACACAGAGTCCCCAACTAAGTTATGTTCCTTGTGTTTCAACTTGTTAAAAAAGTTGTTTGTAACTCAAAATCTTCTAACTATACAAAACAAAGGTATTAAGAATGATTATATTTCACACATTCATAACTACAGATCAGAATACATAAAAAGAATCATCTTTGAAATATCTTTTATGGACCTTAATCTTAAATGTGAATGCTCATAACAAACATTCTTACATTGAGGACCAAGTGCCTAAAAATATTGTTAGACAAAACGAATATTTAATTCCTCATAAAAATACAGTGGACCCCCGGTTAACGAACTTTTTTCATTCCAGTAGTATGTTCAGGTGCCAGTACTGACCGAATTTTTTCCCATAAGGAATATTGTGAAGTAGATTAGTCCATTTCAGACCCCCAAACATACACGTACAAACGCACTTACATAAATACACTTACATAATTGGTCGCATTTGGAGGTGATCGTTAAGCGGGGGTCCACTGTAATGAAAAATTATGAGTGTTACCTTAGTGTCTCCCAGTGCTAAATACATGCACTGTCGGCCCACAAGTACCGGAAGTGTGAGGCACATTATTGATGCAGCAGTGAGGCTGATGCACATCATGATCACCAAGCCCAAGATGCGAACACCAAACCATCGTGGACGTACATATGCTTGAAAGCCTATAAAACCAAGCAAGGGACTTTAAAGAATGGAACTTACTATAAGTGACTTGGCACGTTCATATTCTTGTTGTATTTTTTTTTTTACACGTTGGCCATCTCCCACCGAGGTAAGGTGACCCGAAAAAGAAACACTTTCACCATCATTCACACTATCACTGACCTGTAATTAATACTATTAAACCTGTTACTGTATTATTACTATTATCATTTATTTTCTGTAATGATGCCTATTACCTGCCAAGGCAGGGTGATGTAAAGTAATATATTCGCCATCACTCATTCTCTAGTTGAGTGAACAAATACAGTGAAAAATTATTATATTCTCAAGCTGAGGGAGTGAATGAATGTAAATAATTATTGCATATTCACAAAAATTGCTAAAACTTAAATAAGTTATAACAATACTTAAATCTGCCCACAAAAAAAAAATTATTAACTGGGCTAGAAAATTGATCAATCATGCAGCATGGAAAATGGAAAAAGATAAATGATGTGGCAAATGAAATTATACTAAAACTGAAGATCAAAAGTGCAGATTAATTGAAAACATTAGGGATCTGAATACATGGTTCATTCTGCCTAATCAACTGCGAAAAACCCAAGGTAAAATTTCCAAGGATTTTAAAGATTACATATTGAAGCATAAATCAAACACCATATCAATATCAAATTACTAAAATGAACATGCCTACTCTTTGAACAATTCTGTGTTCAACTGTAATTCTGAACATAATACTGTACATCCACAGAAAGTAACTTGCCATCCCGTTCAAAACATTTCGCTATAGAAATAATGCAATTTGTTCAGAATTCAAGTATAAAAATAGCATACGTTTTGTTGATATTCAACTACTGTGCATCATATACAGCAAACGTATATTGTACACACAAAATTACCAATACGAAAGGGATACTGAGCAACAGTGAATTCAAACATGCTTTAGGATCAAACTATGAACTCTGACAAGGAAGAAATGAGTGTATGCACCCAGCTATGTTGCCAGGCAGCAAATTCGGAATAAAGAGCTGGAAACATACAGGAGGGCCCCACATACTCGGCAACCTTTTTTCAGTATTCCATGTTTTCATTGGCTTTCAACTGAGCCATTGTTCATTATGTTCGGTGCTTTTACCACTTTTCTGCCATTTTCACACAAGTTACGTAAGGGAATGGCAACCTGTGCCATGTTTTAAAATACGTATTGTATGTACTGTGTCTTTATTTTACTTTATTTATTTTTTATGCCTAGCTGTAATGAGTACTTAATATATGATAGTGTAAACATGCTCTTTTCCACCCGCTGGCGAGTTTCACTCACAGCAAATGGTCGGGAACCTAAGAGCTGTACAAACAGGGTCCTCCTGTGCATACAAGTACATACATACATAGAGGTTCTATTTAGTTTGTAATTACATCCCTGTATTCATGTGAAAGCTATAAAATTGTAAGGGTCATACAGAATCTGGAGAATGAAGACAGGTTTGATTTGAGGAAGAAGGTGGCCCCAATTCCTTGGCTCAAGAACCCTTCACAAGCCTTAAGACATCTCCTCAAAGGGTAAAACAAATATAATCTGCTAGAATATTATATTGCAAAAATAAAGAAAATACAATCACATCCCAAACAACCTACCAGTAGGACCATCTCGCTGCAACAGTGCTTGATGCGCTGCCCCCAGGCCTCCAGCGAGGGCATCAGCAGCACCACCACCGCCAGCACCCACGCCACCACCTCCACCAACCACAGGATTCACTATACCTTCTGCTGGTTCCTCAACCTCAACTTGAGGGGCTGCTCCAGCCCCAACCTCTCCAGCCCCACCACCTGTATCACCACCTATAACTACACCACCACCCTGAAATACATTACATAAACTTCAATTTCAGCTACATAAAATTAATAAAATACAAATTTGTTAATGATACTTATTAGACAAATCCTATTTAGTAAATTTAACTTACTAGCAAGAGACAAAAAACTATTAAAAACAATGGAAGCCAGTACTGTTCTACCATGTCACATGATGATTTCAGGTGGAACAAAGAACCCATGTGATATAGCACAATGATAATGGGCTCATGCTTTTATTTATTTTGGTTTTATGTCACATATACATGTCAATGTGAAATTACGATGATTACTAATAAGTAAATAATGTACAATAAGAAAGATGTCACAAAATTATGGCTGAAACAATTTACAACCTACAATACCATAGCTGGAACACTTCACAACCACAATACCATGGCTGGAACACTTCACAACCACAATTCCATAGCTGGAACACTTCACAACCACAATACCATAGCTGGAACACTTCACAACCACAATACCATAGCTGGAACACTTCACAACCACAATACCATGGCTGGAACACTTCACAACCACAATACCATAGCTGGAACACTTCACAACCACAATACCATAGCTGGAACACTTCACAACCACAATACCATGGCTGGAACACTTCACAACCACAATACCATAGCTGGAACACTTCACAACCACAATACCACAGCTGGAACAATTCCCGACTAACCCTCAATTTATAAGGGCAACAATGTTTTGGCACATTCTGGACCATCTCAATTGACTTAATTAATTACTGACCATGGCAGGCAAACTACATCTAAAGTTTTTCTCTAACTGCAGGTTAGTTGTGAAAACAAATGCAAGAAACAATGGCAAACTTACCTGGACATCAAGAGCCACATCCCCTAAAAGATATGACCTAAGACCCAAAATATGAGAGACGGCAGCACACCAGTGTCTGACCAGGAGCTTGAGCCACACACGGGTGTGACCCTGCTCAAGCAAGGCTGGAAGAATTACCTGAAGTAGCAACAACTCCAGAGAGAGTTCACTCACTGGTGTGTCACTGCAAAGAGATACAAATCACAATAACTTATTAACTCTCTAGGTACCATACAGACGCACCTCAACTTACGATATTTTGACTGTACAACGGTGCAAAAGCAATTACTACTGGGAGATGAAACTTAAGATAATTACCCAGCATGAAGGCAGCAAGTCCTTATATTCATTTATTTAGTTTTTATTACTGGTATTTAGTTACAGTAGTTATTTATTTACTTATTTAACACTTCATATTCATATTTGACTTACAATGTGTTGGTAGGAACAACCCCATTCTAAGTCAAGGAACACCTGTAGTGATATGCACTAAGCTCTTTACAATTTCAAAACAAAGTAACACCATGGAGAGGAAAAGAAACCTGCAGCATGATGTGATTCTTCATTTACAAAGTATTGACAATACAGTGGACTTTAACAAGTCACATTTGGCTGCATTTGTAAGTTTTTCCATCACGAATGCATTTTATACCATTTCTCTCCATATACAGTTTTTTTTTTTTTTTTTTTTTTTCAACAAGTCGGCCGTCTCCCACCGAGGCAGGGTGACCCAAAAAAGAAAGAAAATCCCCAAAAAGAAAATACTTTCATCATCATTCAACACTTTCACCACACTCGCACATTATCACTGTTTTTGCAGAGGTGCTCAGAATACAACAGTCTAGAAGCATAAACATATAAAGATACACAACATATCCCTCCAAACTGCCAATATCCCAAACCCCTCCTTTAAAGTGCAGGCATTGTACTTCCCATTTCCAGGACTCAAGTCCGACTATATGAAAATAACCGGTTTCCCTGAATCCCTTCACTAAATATTACCCTGCTCACACTCCAACAGATCGTCAGGTTCCCAATTACCATTCGTCTCCATTCACTCCTATCTAACACGCCCACGCACGCTTGCTGGAAGTCCAAGCCCCTTACCCACAAAACCCCTTTACCCCCTCTCTCCAACCCTTTCGGGACGACCCCTACCCCGCCTTCCTTCCCCTATAGATTTAAATGCTTTCCATGTCATTCTACTGTGATCCATTCTCTCTAAATGACCAAACCACCTCAACAACCCCTCTTTTGCCCTCGACTAATACTTTTATTAACTCCACACCTTCTCCTAATTTCCACACTCCCGAATTTTCTGCATAAATATTTACACCACAAAATTGCCCTTAAACAGACATCTCCGCTGCCCCAACGCTCCTCGTGCTGCATTTACCACCCAAGCTTCACACCCATAAAAGTGTTGGTACTACTATACTTTCATACATCCTCTTTCCTCCATAGAAAACTTTTTTTTGACTCCACATATACCTCAACCACCACTCACCTTTTTTTCCCTCATCAATTCTATTTTAACCTCATCCTTCATAAATCCATCCGCCGACACGTCAACTCCCAAGTAACTAAAACATTCACTTCTTCCATACTCCTCCCCCCCAAATTTTGATATCCAATTTTTCTTTATCTAAATCATTGACACCCCATCACCTTACCCTTTTCTATGTTCATTTCAACTTTCACCTTACACACATTCCCCCAAACCACCACTAACCTTTGCAATTTTCTTTAGAACCCCAAAAGCACAGTATCATCACAAAAAGAAACTGGTCAATTCCCATTTTAATTGATTCCCCATAATTTAATCCCACCCCTCTCCCCAAACACCCTAGCATTTCCTCCTTTACAACCCCATCAAATAAAATATATTAAAACCCAGGGTGACATTACACATCCCTGTCAAAAACCTACTTTTACCGGGAAGTAGTCTCCCTCTCTCTACACACCCTAACCTGACCTCACTAACCTAAATAAAAACTCTTTACAGCATTTAATAACTTACCACCAAATTCCATAAACTTGCAACATCTCCCCACATTGCTCCTCTATCCACTCTATCATATGCCTTTTCTAAATCCAAAAAATGCAAAAAAAAACTTCCCTATCTTTATCTAAATACTGTTCACATATATGCTTCAATGTAAACACCTGATCTCACATCCCCTACCCACTCTAAAACCTCCTTGCTCATCCGCAATCCTACATTCTGTCTTACCTCTAATTCTTTCAATTATAACCCTACCGTACACTTTTCCTGGTATACTCATAAGCTTTTTCCCTCATAATTTTTACAGTCTCTTTGCCCCCTTTTCCCTTTATAAAAAGGGGACTATACATGCCTCTCTGCCAATCCTAGGTACCTTCCCCTCTTTCCCATACATTTATTAAACAAAATACCAACCCACTCCAACACTATATCCCCCCCCTGCTTTTAACATTTCTGTCATGATCCCATCGTTCCAGCTGCTTTACCCCCTTTCATTTACGTAATGCCTCACTACCTCCCCCACACTTACATTCTGCTCTTCTTCACTCCTAAAAGATGGTATACCTCCCGACCATGCATGAAATTACTGCCTCTGTTTCTTCCCTTAACATTTAAAAGTTCCTCAAAATATTCTCGCCATCTACCCAATACCTCCATCTCCCCATCACTAACTCCCCTACTCTGTTTTTAACTGACAAATCCATATTTTCCCTAGGCTTTCTTAACTTGTTTAAACTCACTCCAAAATTTTTTTATTTTCATTAAAATTTCTTGACAGTGCCTCTCCCCTCTATCATCTGCTCTCCTTTTGCACTCCTCTCACCACTCTCTTTACCTTTTTTTTACTCTCCATATACTCCCGCTCTTCTTATAACACTTCTGCTTTGTAAAAAACCTCTCATAAGCTACCTTTTTCTCTTTTATCACACCCTTTACTTCATCATTCCACCAATCACTCCTCTTTCCTCCTGCCCCCACCCTCCTATAACCACAAACTTCCTGCCCCACATTTTAATACTGCATTTTTAAAACTATTCCAAACCCCCTTCAAACCCCCCCCCTACTCATCTTTGCACTAGCCCACCTTTCTGCCAATAGTCGCTTATATCTCACCCGAACTTCCCCCTCCCTTAGTTTATACACTTTTACTTCCCTCTTACTTGTTGTTGCCACCTTCCTCTTTTCCCATCTACCTCTTACTCTAACTGTAGCTACAACTAAATAATGATCCGATATATCAGTTGCCCCTCTATAAACATGTACATCCTGGAGCCTACCCATCAACCTTTTATCCACCAATACATAATCTAATAAACTACTTTCATTACTGCTACATCATACCTTGTATATTTATTTATCCTCTTTTTCATAAAATATGTATTACTTATTACCAAATTTCTTTCTAAAACCATAGCTCAATTAAAGGCTCCCCATTTACCATTTACCCCTGGCACCCCAAATTTACCTACTACCCCCTCCATAACATTTTTACCCACTTTAGCATTAAAATCCCCCCAAACCCCCATTACCTCACACTTGAATTCAAAACTCCCCACGCATTCACTCAACATTTCCCAAAATCCTCTCTTCTCTCTCCTCTACACTTCTCTCTTCTCCAGGTGCATACACGCTTATTATAACCCACTTTTCACATCCAATCTTTTTTTTACTCCACATAATCCTTGAATTAATACATTTATAGTCCCTCTTTTCCTGCCATAGCTTTTCCTTCAACATTATTGCTACTCCTTCTTTAGCTCTAACTCTATTTGAAACCCCTGACCTAATCCCATTTATTCCTCTCCACTGAAACTCTCCCACCCCCTTCAGCTTTGTTTCACTTAAAGCCAGGACATCCAGCTTCTCTCATTCATAACATCCACAATCATCTCTTTCTTATCATCTGCACAACATCCACGCACATTCAGACTTCCCACTTTGACAATTTTCTTCTTCTTATTCTTTTTAGTAATCTTTACAGGAAAAGGGTTACTAGCCCATTGTTCCCGGCATTTTAGTTGACTTTTACAACACGCATGGCTTACGGAGGAAAGATTCTTATTCCACTTCCCATGGATATAAAAGGAAAATTAATAAGACCAAGAACTATTAAGATAAAATCAAAGAAAACTCAGATGAGTGTGTATAAATAAATGTGTACATGTATGTGTAGTGTGACCTAAGTGTAAGTAGAAGTAGCAAGACATGCCTGTAATCTTGCATATTTATGAGACAGACAAAAGACATCAGCAATCCTACCATCATGTAAAACAATCACAGGCTTCGTTTTACACTCACTTGGCAGGACGGTAGTACCTCCCTGGGTGGTTGCTGTCTACCAACCTACTACCTAACTAGTTATACACAGTTATACACAGTAATACACATTAATAACTCTAAGCCACAACTATCCTTCAAAATTTTTCATAATATATGCTTAGAAACACGAGAAAAATATACATAATTATACAGTTACAATATCCAACATCAATTTAAAAAATATTAAATTGTTAATGTTGAAAAAGATCCCTAAATTAACAGCTTAAAAATAATACAGTCCTTAATGTATTTATTTGCTTAACAAACCATTTCTTTGGTTCCTATTTAGATTATGAAATACTGGTGTATCCTGCTCTGCTATCATGCCTAGACTGACTGGCAAGATGAGCCTAGCTTCTTATACAATGCTTCAAGAATGGTCATGTCATCATACTGTCTAACAGTTAGTTGGGCAACAAAAGTGGATGTACAAGCTGGTGTACACACTGCTGACACACTGTAGTTGTTGAACAATATCAGCCAAACAAATGTAAGCTCCCTATACATGCATAAAATATAACAAAGTATGAATACATATGGTAAAAAAATAAACCAACCAAGAAAAATATTTATAATTCATAGTCCTTCATTCTGGAAGAGCTAGTCCATGTTTGTAAGTCACTAACTGGTTCCAAAGTGCCAATATTGTAAGTGTGGAATAATGAAAGTTTAAATGCTTTTTTGGAAAAATACACTGAACGGTAAAGTTTACCATGTCAAGAGGCCTTTTTACAAAGAGATCTGAAACCAATATAAGTACTTATATATTAAAAGTCTCTGTCCTCACAAAATGCTTAAACCCTAGAAAATTATTGTAATCTAACCTCCAGTCAGAAGAAGGATAATGTAAGAGTACATACCTGGACAATGTGATATGGTAAGGCAGGAATGAGGGCCACAGTCCATGAATAATTTTGATAGGTAACCATAACATTAGTAGTACTGTAGAGCCAAAGATGACCATAGAAGCCAGGAAGCGACGAGTGTGACGGACAATCGGCAGGTGTATCATCTGAAGCAGGAAACTGAATAAGTAGCACATTCAGTGAGTATTTTATTATTATTATTTATGCTATGTGTAATATAAAGAAAATAATGGAATTACTAATTCATCATTAATGGTGTCCAGTCACAAGCATGACAAAGTGAACTTGCAAATTTTTTTTATATTTTCCAAACCGATTAATGCTACAAATATTCACAATACGGTTCACAACCAAGAAGCTGGAATTGAAAACTGAACAATGTTTCAGTCTACCATGAATCATTATCAAGTCAAGAGTAATAATAATGATTCAGGACAAAACAAAATGACAACTATTTTATATTCTGAATTTGTGGGTTAATTGTGAATTATCAATCAAAATAACATGAGGTTTATTTAAAAAAAAACTGGATTAAATTCAAAAATTTCTGCAGCAGTGACTTCAGAAGTAACATAAGTGGTGAACGTTTCAAATTAATGCACTGGGACATTCACCATATATCACACAGTAAACAAGTGGCAGAAAAAAAAAAAAGAAACAAGAAAAACTTAGTGAAAATAATGGGAGTCCTTACACGAATACCCTAAAACTACAACACAAGCAGAGGTTAGGTTAGGTAAGATTTGTCGGGAAACAGGACAAGTGTTTACTGACTCGCAGCTGAAGCTTTTTGTACTCTGAAGAGGCATTCCACTGGCTTACTCTTCCACCCCTATAAAAATTATCATTAAGACTATCACAGGCAGAGCAGCTAAATAGAGATCTTGGAAATGGACAGCAGGTTACACAGCAATGCTAAAATATGCATTGCAGGACCTACTTTATGTTCAACATTACAGTAACTTAACCATTTTCCAGTGATCTCTTATTAGACAGCTACTATCATACACCGATCTTGTTCAATTGGTCAAACTTTTTTCGCTCAGTGAAAATATTTCCAATTAATTTTTTGTTATTTTCTTTTACCCAAACGAATCCATACTTTGCGTATGCTCAGTCAGCATCCCCATAAAGGTTTTTTTTCTTTTCTTTTGAGATTGGTAAGAACTGCAGATTTAATAATTATGATTATACTAAAGCTGGAGTGTGAGCAAGGTAATATTCTGTGAAGGTATTCAGGGAAACAGGTTAGTGGACCGAGTCCGGGGAGGTGGAAATACAATGCTTTAACAAAAAAGGAGGGGTTTGGGAAAATATTTGCTGTTTGGGTGAATGTAAATGTGCCTAAATAAACTTACCCCAAACAAACAGGTTTCATGTATTGATCTACCAGATCCCAGGCAGTGATAAATATGTGGGCCCTCAGGCTCCAATAGCAAAGCATGGTTGCCCAAAAGCCATGCACCAGATAAATTTGGCCCATGGCCAGTCTGCAGTAGGAAAAATCTAAAAACAATCCAGGAATCGAGGAAAAGATCCGGAAGAAAAAGGAAAGGGGGGGAAAGTGTTCTTTCTATACGTACGTAGTCGTATTTAACAAAACCCTCAAATGCACCAAGAAAAAAAATTCTTTTTTTTTTACAATGCCCCCGGTCATCTCCCAAAAGGCAGGGTGACCTAAAAAGAAAAAAAAAGTTTTTTCATGTAAAAAGAAATTTTTCTTTTAAATGTAAAAATTATACAAAAGGGTACTAGCCTTTGTCCCAGCATTTTATTCCCTCTTCCGACATGATGGCTTTAGAGTTAAAAAATACACATATAAAAAACTGACCTCTTGTACGGATAAAAATCTGGACATTAAGATTTCGGAAAGGAACCAAAGGACCCTTGGTCGCAAATTCCCGAAGCAGAAGGAGAAGGAAGCAAAGTAGAATAAATACCCTTCCCCCAAAACCAGTGGAAAAACAGGGAAGTCCCAGGTTGCCTTGAAAGTAACTTCTCGATCCTTCCAAATATAAAAAATTAAAAAATAGTTATAATATTCTACAAGTGTTTACATCTGGTTTACATAAAAACAACTAACTTTAGCAAAAAACTTTTTTAATCCCAAAAGTGATCATGTGTGAAGGGGTTCACTTCAACAAAATCAATGTTTTTTAAAAAGTTTTAACCCCGTAAACGGTCCCCAAGGCAGATCTATGTTCACACTTTGTGTCCCCTCCAAAAGTAGAAAACTTTTTTTTTTTACACTTTTTCAAATCGTGGACCCCCGGTTTAACGTATTTTTTATTCCAGAAGTATGTTCGGTGCCAGTGCTGACCAAATTTGTTCCCATAAGGAATATTGTGAAGTAGATTAGTCCATTTCAGCCCCAAACAACAATACAAACGCACTTAAAAAAACACCTAATAATTTGGTCGCCTGGGGGTGATCGTTAAGCGGGGGCCCACTGTATAAAAAAAAAAAAAGTAGATCAAAGTTTTTTTACACATTTTCAAATGTAAAAAAAAAAAAAAGATTACTTTTTTTACAACTTTAAAATGTTAAAAAAAACATATATTACGTTTTGGGCTTTTACAGGTTAAACACAGAGGGCAGTGGACGATGACTGAAAAAGCAAAAAAAAGCAGACTGCTTAAAATTTAGCAGGAAAGTTGAAACATTTTAAGGAAAGTAAAAAGGCCCGGAGTTTTATGGGTCACTCGCCAACATTTTAAAACTCCCCCCCGTTCCATGGTTTATTTACAAATTTTGTCATTTGATTTTGAGAGTCCAAAGTAACTATCAACAAAAACACAAAGAAATTGAGCTTTATTATAGCTTACCTTAAGGGGGGGCATCAAATAATGGAGGGCAAATGTCCAGCCACCCGCCGCCCCATAAGGGGAAAACTCCAAAATTTTTACCCACTAGGAGCGCCACCCTTACTACCAATAAAATAAACCCAAAACTGTTTGTCTGTGAAATTAACACAACTGTATTTAGGGAAGAACTAACTTTTCGAATGTTAATGACAATAGTTTCATGTCCATAATAAAAGCATCAAATTAAGCTACTGATGTTCCACCCCTTTAAAAATTTTTAAAAACCAGACAGCGTTGAATGAGGCAGTGAATGCATTTTCACTTATGTCAGATCATTGTCCTCTGGAGATGGCCCGTGTATAAAACAAAAAATATTCATATAGAAAACCACAGTACAAAGGAAAATTATTTTTCGACATGTTTTTATAATGGTCTTCAAACCCCAAATGCCTGCCAGGTGCCATGTTTTTAATTTCCCTATTGATTTTAGAAAATCATATTCTTTTTTTTTTATGGATATCAAATACTATAGTTATTAATGTATGAATAAAAAACAGATTAAACCCCCCTTTTATGATGTTTCGATTTAAAGTTTGTGAAAGGCACATTTCAAATTAAAATTCTGTTGCAAAAGAATTTTTTTTTTTTTTAAATTTTGGTTTGTGTCAAAGATCATCTCTCTTTAAATATTACTCTAAACTCTTAATATTGGCCATCACTATATCACATACAACACTTGAAAAAAGATTATGCTATTATAAATAAAATCAAGGCAACCCAAAAAAGAAACACTTTCACCATCATTCAACACTTTCACCATTGTGTGAATGATGGTGAAAGTGTTTCTTTCTTTTTTGGGTCACCCTGCCTCAGTAAAATGTTAATATTTTTACAAAAGCCACAAACTGTTTCATCCTCACCTGTTTAGTCTTATTAGGGCAGCCAGTGTATGTAACAATACTAGACATAAGCCAACAACGCAGTACCCACACAATGCTGTCAGCAGCCCCTCGAAATGCGACGCTGACACCCAGCCTTTCAGCTTGAACCCCACTATGGTAAAATGTCCAATGTGATATGGACAAAATGCTGAGGAGAACAATGACTTAGATTAATAGGAAATACGGTACAGTGGTGATTATACGTATGTATACAGTCGACCTTCAATACAGCGAACTATGGAAAAGCGGGACAAACCCGCTAAGTCAAATGATTCAGAAACAATGGACCAAGTCTCTTACTGACAGAACTTTCATTATTATTACAACCATGGTAAAACAATCTCATCTCTCTCCACCACAATCATTACCAGCCATTTGCTCCCTCTAAGGGTCTACTGTACTATATATGCATAACATGTACAATACATATATTTCTGAGGATCTTGTATTACACCGAGTCTATAGTGCCTGCACTCTGAAGGAGGGGAGGGGATGTTGCAACTCAGAGAACCATCTGAACTGTAATAAAATGTCAGCACACTTTTAGGCAAGACAGCAACTGAATGAATGAGAGTAAATGTGTTTCCTCTTTTTTTTTTTTTTTTTGTCACCTATCTCAGTGTGAAAACACCCCAGTATGTTAAAAAAAAAATGGAAAAAAGACTCAATTCAGTAGAATGAAGCTTCTGTATTTCCTCCTCTTTTTCCAACAAACTGGCCATATTCCACTGAAGCAGGGTGGCCCAAAAAGAAAAACAAAAGTTTCTCTTTTTAACTTTAGTAATGTATACAGGAGAAGGGGTTACTAGCCCCTTGCTCCTGGCAGTTTAGTCACCTCTTACAACTTGCATGGCTTATGGAGGAAAAATTTTCTTTTTCCATTTCCCCCATGGGGGATCAGGGGGAAAACAAGAGCAAGAACTAGTAAGAAAATAGAATACCCAGAGGGGTGTGTGTGTATATATATGCTTGTACATGCATGCGTAGTGTGACCTAAGTGTAAGGAGAAGTAGCAAGACATACCTGAAATCTTTCATAGTCATGAGACAGGAAAAAGACACCAACAATCCTACCATCATGTAAAACAATTACAGGTTTTCATTTTACACTTCACTTGGCTAGACAGCAGTACCTCCCTGGGTGGATGCTGTCTACCAACCTACTACCACAGGACGGTAGTACCTCCCTGAGTGGTTGCTTCTACCAACCTACTACCCCAGGACGGTAGTACCTCCCTGGGTGGATGCTGTTTTACCAACCTACTACCACAGGACGGTAGTACCTCCCTGGGTGGATGCTGTCTACCAACCTACTACCACAGGACGGTAGTACCTCCCTGGGTGGTTGCTGTCTACCAACCTACTACCACAGGATGGTAGTACCTCCCTGGGTGGATGCTGTCTACCAACCTACTACCACAGGATGGTAGTACCTCCCTGGGTAGTTGCTGCCTACCAACCTACTACCACAGGACAGTAATACCTCCCTGGGTGGATGCTGTCTACCAACCTACTACCACAGGACAGTAGTACCTCCCTGGATGGATGCTGTCTACCAACCTACTACCACAGGATGGTAGTACCTCCCTGGGTGGTTGCTGTCTACCAACCTACTACCACAGGACGGTAGTACCTCCCTGGGTGGATGCTGTCTACCAACCTACTACCACAGGATAGTAGTACCTCCCTGGGTAGTTGCTGCCTACCAACCTACTACCACAGGATGGTAGTACCTCCCTGGGTGGTTGTTGTCTACCAACTTACTACCACAGGACGGTAGTACCTCCTGGGTGGTTGCTGTCTACCAACCTACTGCCACAGGACGGTAGTACCTCCCTGGGTTTGGGTTTCTGTCTACCAAACCTACTACCACAGGATGGTAGTACTCCCTGGGTGGTTGCTGTCTCCAACCTACTACCACAGGACGGTAGTACCTCCCTGGGTGGTTGTGCCTACCAACCTACTACCAACGGATGGTAGTTTCCCCCTGGGTGGATGCTGTCTACCAACCTACTACCACCCGGATGGTAGTACCTCCCTGGGTGGTTGCTGTCTACCAACCTTTCTACCACAGGATGGTAGTACCTCCCTGGGTGGTTTTCTGTTACCAACCTACCACCACAGGACGTAGTACCTCCTGGGTGGTTGCTGTCTACCAACCTACTACCACAGGACGGTTTGTACCTCTCTGGGTGGGTTGCTGTTTACCAACCTATACCACAGGATGTTAGTACCTCCCTGGGTGGTTGCTGTCTACCAACCTACTACCACAGGGACGGTAGTACCTCCCCGGGTGGTTTTCTGTCTACCAACCCACTACACAGGATGGTAGTACCTCCCTGGGTGGTTGCTGCCTACCAACCTAACTACCACAGGATGGTTAGTACCTCCCTGGGTGGATTTTGTCTACCAACCTACTACCACAGGACGGTAGTAACTCCTGGGTGGTTGCTGTCTACCAACCTACTACCACAGGACGGTAGTACCTCCCTGGGTGGTTGCTGTCTACCAACCTACCACCACAGGACGGTAGTACCTCCCTGGGTGGTTGCTGTCTACCAACCTACTACCACAGGACGGTAGTACCTCTTGGGTGGTTGCTGTTTTACCAACCTACTACCACAGGATGGTAGTACCTCCCTGGGTGGTTGCTGTCTACCAACCTACTACCACAGGACGGTAGTACCTCCCTGGGTGGTTGCTGTCTACAACCTACTACCACAGGACGGTAGTACCTCCCTGGGTGGTTGCTGTCTACCAACCTACTACCACAGGACGGTAGTACCCTCCTGGGTGGTTGCTGTCTACCAACCTACTACCACAGGACGGTAGTACCTCCCTGGGTGGTTGCTGTCTACCAACCTACTACCACAGGATGGTAGTACCTCCCTGGGTGGTTGTGTTTTACCAACCTACTACCACAGGATGGGAGTACCTCCCTGGGTGGTTTGCTGTCTACCAACCTACTTTCCACAGGATGGTAGTACCTCCCTGGGTGGTTGCTGTCTACCAACCTACTACCACAGGATGGTAGTACCTCCCTGGGTGGTTGCTGTCTACCAACCTACTACCACAGGACGGTAGTACCTCCTGGGTGGTTTTCTGTCTACCAACCTACTACCACAGGACAGTAGTACCTCCCTGGGTGGTTGCTGTCTACCAACCTACTACTTAGGTTCTATATTGAAATAGTTTAAATATCTTTCAGGTTGACAGCTTTTGCCTCAAGTCTCTTGCAATTAAAATAAATTTTCCTTCAAATATTTTCTTCCTAAAAGAAAAAATAATAATTAGAGCTTTCTGGGTGGTTTGACTAATGGAGCATCTGAATTGCATCTTAACCCATAAACGATCCAAACGTATATATACGTTTTTTCAACATTTGAATGTAAAAAAAGTAATCTTGTTTTTGTTTTTCTACATTTGAAAATGTGTAAAAAAAACTTTGATCTACTTTTTTTTTGTTATATTTGAAAATATGTAAAAAAACTTAGATCTACTTTTGTAGCACTACACGTGAACGTAGATCTGCTTGGACCGTTTACGGGTTAAATAAAGAACGATTTTCAGAGCAATAGTTAATAACAAAACCCTCCCACCCTTTACTAATTGGCTTTTAAAGATTATTGCATTCATGGCAAAGTACTAAACCCATAGGAGTCATACAGCACCTTAGAGTAGGATGTAACAGATTTAAAAGAAGGAATGTTTCTGATTTCTTGAATCAAAATCTCTTCACCAGCATCAAAATCTATTTTAATATATAGTCTTCTAGCTGTCTAATTTAAGCTTGAATGTTTTTGGCCAGAAAATGTTTCGCTTCTAACATCATTAATTAAAAATGTTCATGCATCGGCTTACACCAAAAGATACTACAAATGCAAGATATCTTGAATTCTTACCAAAGACAAGAATAAACATTGTGTTTAGAGAAACAACCCAAAACACATGTTCCAGAAAAACCAGTGATCCATCAAGACCCAACAGCCGCTCCCAAGTAAGCTCCTCAGCTGCTCGGTCCCATTCTATTGGGTTCCAGTTGACATCATCTGCAGCGGCCCCAGGATCCAGATTATTATTGGCTGGTATACCCTCGTGTAAAAGTTCACCCTCATTACCTGAAAAATTGTGCAATAGTTTTCAAAAACATTTGCACAAGCTAGCTGTTACTACTTTTATTATACTTTATAATAAAATATATCATTCGAAGGTCTTATTCACAGTATGTTTAACCCGTAAACGGCCCAAACGTATATATACGTTTTTTCAACATTTGATAGTATGTAAAAAAAGTAGATTTTTTTTTTTTACAATTGAAAATGTGTAAAAAACTCAGATCTACTTTTTTTTTATATTTGAAAATATGTAAAAAAAACGTAGATCTACTTTTGGAGCACTACGCATGTGAATGTAGATCTGCTTGGACCGTTTACGGGTTAATATTGAGATATAGAATTTTGATTTTAAGAATTTGGAAGCATACACATGGCTGTCATTTAACAGCTGTTCGAATGGATTAAAATCAATTTATCAAATCAAATCAAAGTTTATTCTCTATAAGGATTACAATGCGGGGTTTACAGATTTTGGTTATTGTGTGGTTTACATGTAATAAAATACTAATTACAGAGGGGGCCACTAGAACACCTAGCAAGGCTAGGCATTTCGGGCAAACTTAGATTAATTCTTAGATTAATTTAGCCAAAACTATGGAGATAAGGAAGTTTTCCATGGCCTGTACAACCATCTTGTAAATAAAACTATCTTTCCAGTTCATCAAGTGGTCATAGTTATTCCTGTTTGTAAACAACATGGACATTATTAGCACTCTGAACACAGCAAGAATATTCGTGCAAGTCTCTAAATGCCTCTCACACACGTAGGGTATTTTCCAGCAGCCTCTTCGTATAAATCGTTCTTCATTTCTGTCTTTGTATTGAATTGATAAAGACCCTGGTATGCAAAACATTCCATATAAAAGTAACCTAATGTTGCAAATCTCTCTATCGCATATATATTTGTTAGCAATATATACTATGTTGAAGAATGAGACACTTGGGCAACATTTGGCAATCTTTATTAAGGAAATGTTTCACCAGCCAGTGGCTTCAATGTGTTCAGTCCATCAAGACTGACTCCAGGTTAAGGGATTGATTACCTCAAACTTCTCATCTTCCACTGTTCTTCTCTGTGCTGGACTGAAGAAGCCACTGGCTGGCAAAACGTTTCCTCAATAAAAATTCCCAAATGTTGAGCTAGTGTCTCATTTTTCAAGTTGTCAATTTCTAAACCACTTATATCAGTGGTTCTCAACCTTCCTATAGAAGTGGGCCACTTTTGATGGTCAAATGTGTGATGTGTGCCGCACAATTCCTACATAAAAGTGAATTCATAATTTTGTGTGAGGGCCGTATCCATTTCCTAGAAGGGCCACATGCAGCCCACGGGCCGCAGCTTGGGCACCCCTGATTACATCACAATATATACCATGTCTGTATAGACCTATATAGCCATCACAGTCAAGTTGATTCTGCACCTGAATAGAGATGAAACCAACTAACCTTCTGCAATATTGGGATTCGCTATCACAGGCACTACTTCTTGATGAACCGGGTCTTCAATAATCTCTGCATTATCATTGACTCCTTCTACTGGAGCAGCTGCATTCTCATTGGCTGGCTGTACTGGAACCTGACCATTTACTTGATTAACAACTCCGAAGTTTCCAGGGGGCTCATGCTGCAAGAAAAATATTTTCATTAAAGCTTTCCCTCTCATTTTCTTATGAAACATATTTGCAACATACATGGTAATATTATTATTTATAGAAGAGTAAAAGACTCAAATTTTAGTTATTGGGCTACAATCTTGATAAAGTTATGCCATAACTTTCAAAACACAGTACATATACATTATGAAGGTTAGGCTAAGTAAGATTTGTCAGGAAACAGGACAAGTATATGAGGGTTATTTGAATGGTGATATCTACACACTTCTGGAAAAGCAGCTTTTCATGCATGGTTGGTGAGTGTTTCCAGTTTTGGGTTACCCTACTAAAAACATTTTTGTTTTTAACGTGTTGGCCATCTCCCACTGAGGCAGGGTGATCTGAAAAAAGAAACACTTTCACCATCATTCACACTATCACTGTCTTGCCAGAGGTACACAGATACAACGGTTTTGATGTCCCTCTAGACAGCAAATACCCCAAACCCCTCCTTGAGAGTGCAGGCACTTTGGTTCCCACTTCCAAGACTCAGGTCCGGATAACCGGTTTCCCTGAATCCCTTCACAAAATATTCAAAACACTACCTGCTTCAAAACATCAATATAATCCTCTAAATTTTAAAATTCTAGTTGACTATGAAATAAAGCCCTTCCACTTCTGTAGCATTAGCTGGCATGAGATTTTAAACCACCTACCTCATGCTGTACATCTTGATCAAGCCAATCTGGCCCTCCTCCATGTAGGATCTGTTCTCGGAGCCACACTAGACTGATGAAAGCACTTAGTGTGCATGTCACCACAAAGCACCCATGGAAGATATCTGATACTAGGTTATCTCTATTGGGACAAACAAAAAATTAAATTATTTAAATCCATCCATCACACAAGTATATGATCACTTGAGCATGCTTGCAAGCATAACAAAATGTTAGAATGACATTGCCTGGATACATTATTACAAGAGATCTCAACATGTGTAATGATACTCCCAAATTTGTTACAACACAGACAAAAAGCACAAAAACAAGGAAAAGAGCAGTTCCTAAAAATATTAGATAACATTTTCCCTCAATAGGACTGTATCAAAGCTGCACACAAGATTTTATAAAGCCCTATTTATAGTGAAATACTGACTCGTGAAAAATCTCTGCTTGGTGTGTTTTGTTAGGTATATGGACAGAGATGCAACTAATATGACGTTTATTGTGGCAACGTTTCGCTCTCCAGGAACTTTGTCACGCAATAATGGTGTGACAAAGCTCCTGGAGAGCGCAATGTTTTTTTTTTTTTTTTTTTTATTATCACACCGGCCGATTCCCACCAAGGCAGGGTGGCCCGAAAAAGAAAAACTTTCACCATCATTCACTCCATCACTGTCTTGCCAGAAGGGTGCTTTACACTACAGTTTTTAAACTGCAACATTAACACCCTCCTTCAGAGTGCAGGCACTGTACTTCCCATCTCCAGGACTCAAGTCCGGCCTGCCGGTTTCCCTGAATCCCTTCATAAATGTTACTTTGCTCACACCCAACAGCACGTCACAGTATTAAAAACCATTTGTCTCCATTCACTCCTATCAAAACACGCTCACGCATGCCTGCTGGAAGTCCAAGCCCCTCGCACACAAAACACTCCTTTACCCCCTCCCTCCAACCCTTCCTAGGCCGACCCCTACCCCGCCTTCCTTCCACTACAGACTGATAACACTCTTGAAGTCATTCTGTTTCGCTCCATCTCTCTACATGTCCGAACCACCTCAACAAACCCTTCCTCAGCCCTCTGGACAACAGTTTTGGTAATCCCGCAACCTCCTCCTAACTTCCAAACTACGAAATCTCTGCATTATATTCACACCACACATTGCCCTCAGACATGACATCTCCACTGCCTCCAGCCTTCTCCTCGCTGCAACATTCATCACCACGCTTCACACCCATATAAGAGCGTTGGTAAAACTATACTCTCATACATTCCCCTCTTTGCCTCCAAGGACAAAGTTCTTTGTCTCCACAGACTCCTAAGTGCCCACTCACTCTTTTTCCCTCATCAATTCTATGATTCACCTCATCTTTCATAGACCCATCCGCTGACACGTCCACTCCCAAATATCTGAATACGTTCACCTCCTCCATACTCTCTCCCTCCAATCTGATATTCAATCTTTCATCACCTAATCTTTTTGTTATCCTCATAACCTTACTCTTTCCTGTATTCACCTTTAATTTTCTTCTTTTCGCACCCCTACCAAATTCATCCACCAATCTCTGCAACTTCTCTTCAGAATCTCCCAAGAGCACAGTGTCATCAGCAAAGAGCAGCTGTGACAACTCCCACTTTGTGTGTGATTCTTTATCTTTAACTCCACGCCTCTTGCCAAGACCCTCAGCATTTACTTCTCTTACAACCCCATCTATAAATATATTAAACAACCCACGGTGACATCACACATCCTTGTCTAAGGCCTACTTTACTGGGAAAAAAATTCCCCTCTTCCTACATACTCTAACTTGTCCTCACTATCCTCGTAAAAACTCTTCACTGCTTTCAGTAACCTACCTCCTACACCATACACTTGCAACATCTGCCACATTGCCCCCCTATCCACCCTGTCATACGCCTTTTCCAAATCCATAAATGCCACAAAGACCTCTTTAGCCTTATCTAAATACTGTTCACTTATATGTTTCACTGTAAACACCTGGTCCACACACCCCCTACCTTTCCTAAAGCCTCCTTGTTCATCTGCTATCCTATTCTCCGTCTTACTCTTAATTCTTTCAATTATAACTCTACCATACACTTTACCAGGTACACTCAACAGACTTATCCCCCTATAATTTTTGCACTCCTCTTTTATCCCCTTTGCCTTTATACAAAGGAACTATGCATGCTCTCTGCCAATCCCTAGGTACCTTACCCTCTTCCATACATTTATTAAATAATTGCACCAACCACTCCAAAACTATATCCCCACCTGCTTTTAACATTTCTATCTTTATCCCATCAATCCCGGCTGCCTACCCCTTTCTATTTTACCTACTGCCTCACGAACTTCCCCCACACTCACAACTGACTCTTCCTCACTCCTACAAGATGTTATTCCTCCTTGCCCTATACACGAAATCACAGCTTCCCTATCTTCATCAACATTTAACAATTCCCTCAAAATATTCCTTCCATCTTCCCAATACCTCTAACTCTCCATTTAATAACTCTCCTCTCCTATTTTTAACTGACAAATCCATTTGTTCTCTAGGCTTTCTTAACTTGTTAATCTCACTCCAAAACTTTTTCTTATTTTCAACAAAATTTGTTGATAACATCTCACCCACTCTCTCATTTGCTCTCTTTTTACATTGCTTCACCACTCTCTTAACTTCTCTCTTTTTCTCCATATACTCTTCCCTCCTTGCATCACTTCTACTTTGTAAAAAACTTCTCAATATGCTAACTTTTTCTCCCTTACTACTCTCTTTACATCATCATTCCACCAATCGCTCCTCTTCCCTCCTGCACCCACTTTCCTGTAACCACAAACTTCTGCTGAACACTCTAACACTACATTTTTAAACCTACCCCATACCTCTTCGACCCCATTGCCTATGCTCTCATTAGCCCATCTATCCTCCAATAGCTGTTTATATCTTACCCTAACTGCCTCCTCTTTTAGTTTATAAACCTTTACCTCTCTCTTCCCTGATGCTTCTATTCTCCTTGTATCCTTGTATCTCCCTTGTAGCGCAATGTTGCCACAATAAAATGTCACACTATATAGGTGTGAAGCTTGGGTTGTAAATGCTGCAGCGAGGAGGCAGTTGGAGGCAGTGGAGATGTCCTGTCTAAGGGCAATGTGTTGTGTAAATATCATGCAGGGCAATTTGTTGTGTAAATATTATGCAGAAGATTCGGAGTGTGGAAATTAGGAGAAGGTGTGGAGTTAATAAAAGTATTAGTCAGAGTGCTGAAGAGGGTTTGTTGAGGCGGTTTGGTCATTTAGAGAGAATGGATCGAAGTAGAATGACATGGAGAGCGTATAAATCTGTAGGGGAAGGAAGGCGGGGTAGGGGTCGTCCTCAAAAAGGTTGGAGGGAGGGGGTAGAGGTGGTGTTGTGGACGAGGGGTTTGGACTTCCAGCAAGCGTGCGTGAGCATGTTAGATAGGAGTGAATGGAGACGAATGGTATTTGGGACCTGACGAACTGTTGAAGTGTGAGCAGGATAATATTTTGTGAAGGGATTCAGGGAAACCGGACTTGAGTCCTGGAAATGGGAAGTACAATGCCTGCACTCTAAAGGAGGGGTTTGGGATATTGGCAGTTTGGAGGGATATATTGTGTATTTTTACACGTATATACTTCTAAACTGTTGTATTCTGGGCACCTCTGCAAAAACAGTGATTATGTGTGAGTGAGGTGAAAGTGTTGAATGATGATGAAAGTATTTTATTTTTGGGGATTTTCTTTCTTTTTGGGTCACCCTGCCTCGGGAGACGGCCAACTTGTTAAAAAAAAAAAAAAAAATAGTTGCATCTGTGTCCATTTATCTAACAATTTGTTGGTAATTCTACCATTATTATTCAGTATGTTTTGCAGTTCTAGTTCGTTGTCTACTCATAATTTATGACAATAGAGTTCTTACTTACGTTGACAGCATGTCAAGTGGTAAGGTGAGAACAGAAGACACAGAGCCTGTGAAGAGACAGCGATAGATCCTGCAAGCAGTGAGAGGAACAACACCCAACCATGCCACAGCCACCAGTGTATAGTGCAACCAGTACCGCACCGCTGTTCCCATACTCCGAGCCAAGCCTGATAAAATGTCTGCTATGGGCAGTCTCTTTGGCATATCTGGAGAGTATACTGAAAAAAAAAATTACAGAACAAAAAGGCACAATACAGTAACTGGAACAATACACAAATAACCCGCACAGCGTTATTGTGACTTGTAAGTGGTCCAAATAGGACCAAAATGTCGTCAAAAGGTTCTCTCTCCTATGTGTGGATTATCTGTGTAAAAATTATGAAAACCCTGTAGCATTACCTGAACTATGTATTATTGCCTTCCTAATCCTAAGTTAATCTGTAAGTTTGCCTGAAATGCTCTGCATACAAAGGGGCTTTTGGCATGTACACCCAACAATTATATTCCTCTGTACAACCATGTAATTTGTCAAATAAACATCTTAACCTCAATCTTAAAAGTACTGTATATTAACTGCTGTTGATGCTATCATTCACAGTAACCTTAGCTATCAGCAGAGCTGGATCACAAAGTTGCTACACAATATACACTTCAACTTCTCTAAACCATTTGCTTTCTCCATATCTTCTCATCCTCTCTAAATCAAATAAACAATTTTTAGAAACTTGTACAAATACACCAGTAATAATGCCATACATTGGAACCTCAGTACTTGAACAGCTCCTTACTCGAACAATTCGGTATTTAAATGCTTTGTTCGGTAAAAAAGTCACCATGACAGACTTTGACATGTGCAGGAAGTCTGTTCCATTCCTTATTGCTGTATAATAAAAAGTGTTTGAAGCCTGGCCACTGACTGTGGCTACTACAAAGTTGTGTTCTCTACCCCTAGTACTATTATTGCTTTGGTTACCAACCTTGACAAAATTGGCAGCAAGATATTCTGGACACTGTTTGTGAGCAATTTTCTGAACTTGATTTAACATCAGTTGTTTTACTCTGTTTTCTACATTCTGTCTTCAACCATTTTGTTCTGGGTGATCTGCAGTCTATCTTTCAGTTTTTTTTGTCAAGGCAGAATACCATGAAAGGCAAGCGTAGTCCATATGACATTTTATAAGGGTTAGATATAGGGTCCTACGAGCCTCAGTAGGTAGACACCGTGCTTGTCTGCAGAGGAACTTCAGTCTGACATTCGCTTTCTTTACTACACTGTTCTCTATCAATTCTCCTGACATGCATGGGTCATAGGGGATTCCCAGATATTTTACTGAGGAAACTGAAGTGATGGGTACCCTATTACACTGGACATTAAAATTATTTACCCTTCTTAGTTTATGTTTCATGCCAAAGAGTGTGGCTTCTGTTTTCCTGAGATGTAATGATAGTTTGTTGTCTACTAACCACTTGCTGCAGGACTCCAGTTCCAGTGTTATTACATTAGCTATATCTTGTGGGTCTTTACCTGACACTATCAGAGCACTGTCATCTGCATACAGCAGGAGTTTGCACTTGACACTGATGGGCATGTCGTTTACATAACATAGAAATAATAAGGGACCTAGTTACGTGAGAATTCATAAGAACAATGTGAAATAATGCACAACTGCATATAAAATATTGAAATTGTGTTACAAAATAACTTGTCCTAAAAAATCATTAAAAAAAAAAAAAAGCAATGGAATAAAATTGCCTCTTACTTGGCGTGAAGTGAAAGCGATGTTTGCAGAGTTCGCAATATTCTTTCCGTGAGTAGCGGAGCCATTGTACCAGACAGTCTTGATGAATGAATTTAATGCTACCAGTACATATGCAAGGGTGGAATAGTTGTCGGTCGCTGGTACCTTCACACCTGCACACACGGCATATATCTGGAAGAGATTTAAATTACAATACTAATATAGAGTCAACAGTAGACTGGTAGACAGCAACCAGCCTGGAAGGTGCTAGTGTCAATGCCCCCACAGCCCGGTCCATGACCAGGCCTCATGGTGGCTCAGGGGTTGATCCACCAGCTTGTTACTGCTGGCTGCAGGTAAACCGACATACGAACCACAGCTCGGCTGGTTGGGTACTGACTTTAGGTGCCTGTCCAGTGCCTTCCTGAAGACAGCCAGGGGTCTATTGGTAATTCCCCCTTATGTATGCTGGGAGGCAACTGAACAGTCTTGGGCTCCCTGACACTTAGTGTGTTGTGTCTTAGCATACTTGTGGTGCCCTAGCTTTTTATTGTGGGGATGTTGCCTCGTCTTTTGTTTTCAAAGGGAGTGACTTTTGTGTGCAGATTTTAGACTAGTCCCTCTAGGATTTTCCGAGTGTATATTATCATGTATCTTTCTCACTTATGTTCCAGGGAGTACAAGTCAAGGGATCTCAACCATTCCAAATAATTTAGGTGTGTTATCATACTTATATGTGCTGTGAAAGTTCTCTGTACATTCTCCAGGTCTACAATTTCACCTGCCTTGAAATGTGCCTTTAATGTACAGCAATATTCCAGCCTAATTATAATCATGGGGTAGCACTAAACCCGTAGGATTATATAGTGTATGTGGGGGGATAGAAAGTATTTAGGCTCAATTCAGATCTAATTCCCTAGATCAAGAGCCCCTCACCAGCGTCAAGGAACCTCCCTTGACGGGATTCCAGCCTATTTGAAGAGAACCATCACGGGTTTGGTATCCCTAGTTTTGATGATTCTCATAATCCATCCTATCATTTTCCTAGCAGATGAGGTAGATACATTGTTGTGATCTTTGAAAGTGAGATTCTCTGACATTATCACTCCCAGGTTTTTCACATTAGTTTTTTTACTCTATGGTGTAGTAATATGTGCAAAATAACCACAGTGAAAATATAAGTGACATTCTAAGCACTTTTGTAATTTCTCACATCATTAAGAAATAATGTGAGAAATCACAAAAGTGCTTGGAATTTCACTATTTTTTTCACTGGCTATTTTGCATATTGTGATATCACTTGTTTACTGTGATCTTGTTGCATAGTAACTTGTGTGTAAATTACCCACCAGGATAACTGAAAAAAGTCGGAGCCTTTTATTTCCACTGGGGTCCTTATATTTACATTCAGGTCCTCGTATTTCAACTAGGGTCCCTGTAATTTCATTGGGGGTCCCTGGATTATTATTATTATAATCAAGGGGGAAGCACTAAACCCGTAGGATTATACAGCGCCTATGGGGGGATGGAAGGCATTCAGGCTTAATTCAGGGAACTGGAGCACAGATCCAATTCCCTAGATCAAGAGCCCCTCACCAGCGTCAAGGAGCCTTCCTTGAGGGGGGGGGGTCCCTGGAATTTCATTGGGGTCCCTGTAATTTCATTGGGGTCCCTGTATTCCCATTGGGGTCCCTGTAATTTCATTGGGGTCCCTGTAATTTCATTGGGGTCCCTTTAATTTCATTGGGGTCCCTGTAATTTCATTGGGGTCCCTGTAATTTCATTGGGATCCCTGTAATATCATTGGGGCCCCTGTAATATCATTGGGGTCCCTGTAATTTCATTGGGGCCCCTGTAATATCATTGGGGTCCCTGTAATTTCATTGGGGGTCCCTGTAATATCATTGGGGCCCCAGTAATTTCATTGGGGCCCCAGTAATTTCACTGGGGCCCCAGTAATTTCATTGGGGTCCCTGTAATTTCATTGGGGCCCCTGTAATTTCATTGGGGCCCCTGTAATTTCATTGGGGTCCCTGTAATTTCATTGGGGCCCCTGTAATTTCATTGGGGCCCCTGTAATTTCATTGGGGCCCCTGTAATTTCATTGGGGCACCTGTAATTTCATTGGGGCCCCTGTAATTTCATTGGGGTCCCTGTAATTTCATTGGGGCCCCTGTAATTTCATTGGGGTCCCTGTAATTTCATTGGGGCCCCTGTAATTTCATTGGGGTCCCTGTAATTTCATTGGGGCCCCTGTAATTTCATTGGGGCCCCTGTAATTTCATTGGGGCCCCTGTAATTTCATTGGGGCCCCTGTAATTTCATTGGGGCCCCTGTAATTTCATTGGGGGCCCTGTAATTTCATTGGGGTCCCTGTAATTTCTCTCTCGGAACATTATTATAATACATAATAGAAAATATTCACGGGGAAGCACAAAGCCCGTAGGGGCCGTGAAGCACCTCAAGGATACAATCGGGGTCAATCTGCGATCAGCTCCATTTTCCTGGATCACGAACCTTTCACTGTTGTCAATACAATAAAAAGACAAGAATTTATTTAATCAAATATATAAATCAAGTCAAAAAAAAAAAATTACGTATTAAAAGTAAAATATTATATGACAGTACACGCCAAAATACCATCAAAAAAAGGCCTATATAGGCCAGAAAAGAGGCATAAATAGGCCAAAAAGTAAGTCAAATCCTTATATAAAATAATACGAGTTACCATAACACAAATCTGGTTGAAGTTAGTATTGTTCAAGGTTATTCTTGCCAGTTATTATTATTTCCGGCCATGAATAATAACTACAGAGGCTGAGAAACACCTAGCATAGGCCTCGACACCAGAGAAAAGCTTGCCGTAGGCCTACGCACCGCAATATTAAAGAAAATGTAATTAAAGACGTACCTTGGTTCTGAGAGTCGTCCTCCATTTTAGTGTGACCGTCAACACTCAGACAAGTGAACATCACTATGTGTACTATCTTGTCTCTCTTACCTTATATCTGCTTGTTGGGGTTGACTTCTAGTTCTTGGCCCTGTTTCTTGGCTTCCTATTTGCTTGGTTCCCTGCCTCCTTGCCTCGTGAGGCCCTGTCGTACCTGTTCTTAAAACTATGTCACTGACTTTTTTTGGGATTATCCTAGGTGATTTACACTGTATGATGATTGTATTTATGTGTACCTGTGGGTAAATAAACTTACTTCCTAGTAGAGGTTATTTTCTGACCACCTAGAGGCTGAAGAAATACTTCCTGACGTCCCTGTGATTCATCTGTGGTGCAGTTGTGCCCCCGGGTACCTGTTTCCCGCCTCTCAATCTATCGTTGTAGGCTATACCAATTCCTATGAGTATTTTGTATGTCATTATCATGTCTTTTCTGGTTTCCTCAGCTCACATACTGAATATCCGTGGTTCAATCGCCGGAATGGGTGTAAGTTTATTTAGGTACAGATATACAACAGTACAATTGTCATATATAATAACGTGCAAAATAACCACAGTGAAAAAATAGTGAAGTTCCAAGTGATTTCATGATTTCTCACATTATTAATACCTGGAGTATACCTGGAGAGGGCTTTGGGGGTCAACGCCCCCGCGGCCCGGTCTGTGACCAGGCCTCACGGTGGATCAGGGCCTGATTAACCAGGCTGTTACTGTTGGCCGCACGTAACCCAATGTATGAACCACAACCCGGCTGGTCAGGTACTGACTTTAGGTGCCTGTCCAGTGCCTGCTTGAAGACAGCCAGGGGTCAATTGGTAATCCCCCTTATGTTTGCTGGGAGGCAGTTAAACAGTCTAGGGCCCCTGACACTTATTATGATGTCTCTTATCGTTCTAGTGGTGCCCCTGCTCTTCATTAGGGGATGTTGCATCGTCTTTCGAGTGTCTTGCTTTAGTAGGGTGTTATTTTTCGTGTGCAAGTTTGGTACTAATTCCTCTAGGATTTTCCAGGTGTATATAATCATGTATCTCTCCCGCCTGCATTCCAGGGAATACAGATTCAGGAACCTCAAGCGCTCCCAGTAATTGAGATGTTTTATCTCCGTTATGCGCGCCATGAAGGTTCTCTGTACATTTTCTAGGTCAGCAATTTCACCTGCCTTGAAAGGTGCTGTTAGTGTGCAGCAATATTCCAGCCTAGATAGAACAAGCGACCTGAAGAGTGTCATCATGGGCTTGGCCTCCCTAGTTTTGAAGGTTCTCATTATCCATCCTGTCATTTTTCTAGCAGATACGACTGATACAATGTTATGGTCCTTGAAGGTGAGATCCTCTGACATTATCACTCCCAGGTCTTTTACATTAGTTTCTCACTCTATTGTGTGGTTGGAATTTGTTTTATACTCCACTATAGTTTTAATTTCCTCACGTTTTCCATATCAGAGTAATTGAAATTTCTCATCGTTGAACTTCATATTGTTTTCTGCAGCCCATTGAAAGATTTGGTTGATGTCCGCCTGGAGCCTTTCAGTGTCTGCAATGGAAGACACCGTCATGCAAATTCGGGTGTCGTCTGCAAAGGAAGACACGGTGCTGTGGCTGACATCCTTGTCTTTGTCAGATATGAGGATGAGAAACAAGATGGGAGCGAGTACTGTGCCTTGTGGAACAGAGCTTTTCACCGTAGCTGCCTCTGTTGACTACTACTCCCTGTGTTCTGTTAGTGAGGAAATTATAGATCCATCTACCAACTTTTCCTGTTATTCCTTTAGCACGCATTTTGTGCGCTATTACACCATGGTCACATTTGTCAAAGGCTTTTGCAAAGTCTGTATATACTACATCTGCGTTTTGTTTATCAAAGAATAATGTGAGAAATGACGAATGTCCTTGGAATTTCACTGTTTTTTTTCACTGTGGGTATTTTGCATATTGTGATATCACCTGTTTTTACTAAGATTAGTCTGCCCGAAATGCCGCGACACGTTAGTGGCTTTCTTTGTACTTAGCAAAGCAATAATTGTAATTACATGTTGTAACCTTTACAGAGAAATAAAACCCTTATCTTATTGCACAGTAACATGTGTAAATTACCCTCTAGGATAACCCAAAAAAAAGTCAGAATAAGTGACTTTTTACCACTGGGGTCCTTGTATTTCCACTGAGGTCTTTATATCTCTAATGGGGTCCTTATATTTTCACTGTGGCTCTTCGTTGAAATTTTGGGTTGAGTGAGCTAACAATGGAGCATCAAGAAACCTCCCTAGAGAGGTCCACCATGATCATTGCCAGAAAATACCCCGTTAGAAAATGCTGGGACTTATTTTTGCTCATCGTGGTATACAACCTGACCACCGCCGTGATACAACACCTAATACACAAGAGAAACACCCACCTTAGTCAACAACTATACACACTACAGCTAGACACTAGACAACTCTCTCATGTGTCATATAAATTTGGGGTTCTTAACCTTTTTACTATTACAGACCCACGATGGATTGCCCCAATGTGTCTCCATAACCCCTTCACCAAATTCGAAATCACCATCACCAGGTACCAGTATATACGACTTCAAAGGATGTCACTAGCTTGGTTCATCACCAGTCCTATTAGGTACAAGCGTGACTTCAAAACATGTCAATAGCTTGGTTTTACTTTATATATGGATAGCTAGAAACAGAACAGCTGGTGTCAGTCGAATGGTGTGGGTCGCATCCTGGGACAAAACTGACCTAATCTGCGGGAAATAGTATGTATTATCAACAAGTTAATAAGACACATGTGCAACATTTATTTATTATTTATTATTATTTATTATAAATTTGTGCACACATACAGAGGTACAAAAAAATACAGATAAGAGCAGTATGCCAAAGCCACTTATACTATGCATAGCATTACGGGCTGGCTTAAAATTAACTTAAGATTAATTAAGCAATGATGAAGTCAGTGATAAAACATTAATGTAAACAGATTACTATAAAGCACAAGTGAGTATTACAAAGACAGGTCATATGAAGGATTCTGTTAGGTAGTGTATTTAAAAAGTAATAAAGTTAGATTGGGTTTTAGGTTTAACATTTATGTGATATAATTGTGAGAACATTTAAGATATACAATTTATAAGGTTCAGTTATTCAGTATTTATTTGGTTTTGGGTGAGTAAGTGATCTTTGAGTAGAGACTTGAATTTATAAACAGGAAGTGTTTCTTTTATTTACAGGTAATGAATTCCAGATTTTAGGGCCTTTTATGTGCATTGAGTTTTTGCATAGTGTGAGATGAACACGAGGAACATCAAAGAGTGATCTGTGCCTTGTGTTATGGTCATGTGTTCTGTTGAGGTTGGCAAGGAGATGTTTGAGGGGAGGGTTAATATCAGAGTTAAGTGTTCTATGTATGTAATAGGTGCAGTAATAAGTATGGATGTTTGTATGGTGAGTAGGTTTAGTGTATTGAATATTGGTGGAGTGTGCTGCCTGTAGTGAGAATTTGTTATCATTCTAACTGCAGCCTTTTGTTGGGTAATTAGTGGTCTGAGATGGTTAACTGTTGTTGAGCCCCATGCACAAATTCCATAGGTGAGATAGGGGTAAATAAGAGAGTGATATAGGGCCAGGAGGGCTGACTGTGGAACATAGTACCGTATCTTCGATAGTATGCTACAGTCTTGGAAATTTTCTTAGAAATTTGTTGTATATGTGTATGAAATTTGAGTCTATTATCAAGGTGGATTCCTAAGAATTTTCCCTCTGTTAGCTTTGTGATAGGTGATCGTTTATCATTATGTTAAGAGGGACATCTGTAGCTCTGTTACCAAACTGAATGAAGTAGGTTTTGTCAATGTTTAGTGTAAGTTTGTTAGTCCTCATCCAGGTAGATATTTTCTGTAATTCGGTATTTACAGTATTGGCTAGTGTGACTGGGCTCGGGTGAGAGAAGACGTATGTAGTGTCATCTGCAAATAGTGTGGGTTTGAGTAATTGCGAAGCATTTGGAAGGTCATTTATGTATAGGAGAAAGAGAAGAGGGCCAAGGACACTTCCCTGTGGGACACCAACTGTAATTGGTTGCGCAGAAGAGTTTGCCCCATTTGCGTACACATATTGGCTTCTGTTGCTGAGGTATGACTTGAGGTAATTGAGGGAGTGCCCCTCTTATACCATAGTGTGACAATTTTACGTGGAGCAAGTCATGGTCAACTGTATCAAAAGCTTTACGTAAGTCAATGAAGATCCCCAGTGGACTTCTTTTTTCTCTATTGCAGTGTATATATGTTCTAGCATGTGTATAATAGCATCATTAGTATTTTTATTAGGCCTGAATCCAAATTGGCAGGGGTTGAGTATGTTCTGGGAGATAAGGTAGGAGTAGATTCGTTTATGAATTAGTTTTTCAAAGATTTTTGAGAGAGGGTGTAAGTTGGATATTGGCCTATAGTTATTCAACTCTGTTTGGTCTCCTCCTTTGTGGATCGGGGTGACCCTTGCTATTTTGAGTACTGTAGGGAAGGTGGAGGATTCAATGGATTTGTTAAAGAGTGTTGCAATGATTGGAGATAGCACTTGTGACACTTTTTTATATATAAAGGGTGGTAAGGTACTTAAATCTCCTGCCTTGTTTTTTAGTGCATTGATAATAAGGGAGACTTCGTATGGGTTAGTCGGAGCTAGGAACAGTGTGTTCGGGTAGTTGCCGGTGAGGTAGTTATTTGGTGGGGTATCTGAGCTTGGGATTTTATGGGCAAGGTTTTGTCCTATAGTGGAGAAGAAATCATTGAGTCTGTTTGCTGTTTCTGTTGGTGGGAGTTGGGGTTCATCTGATTTTGCTAATTTTATTTCGCTATTTCGTGATATCTTTTTTGTTCCCAGAATTTCAGATAGTGTTTTCCAGGTCTTTTTTATATCACCTCGTAAGTTGGATAATCTGTTCTCATAATACAATTTTTTTGCCCTTTTATCAGGCTGGTTAGGATTGACGAGTAACGTTTTGTTTGGTCTCTGGTTATGAGACCCATTCTGTACTGTTTTTCATATTGGTGTTTTGTATTTATGGATTTGAGAATGCTGGGTGTTAGCCAGGGACTGTTCAGTCTCTTTGCTGTCATCTGTTTAGTTTTTTTAGGGCAGTGCTTGTTATAGAGGTATTGGGTCTTTTTAGAAAATTATTAATACATTCGTCAATATCTGTATAGATTTCTAGCTCAGTGTGCCAATCAATGTTTGCTAATGCTGTTGCGAAGTTATTAATGGCTGCCTCATTGTGAAGTCTGAAGGTGACTTTAGTAGTGTCTTGGGGTAGTTTACCAAGAGTTGTTATGAGGAAAGTAGGGTAGTGGTCTGTGTGATTATCTGTAATTATGCCTGATTTTAAAGGGGATATGGTGTTGGTCCAGATGTGGTCAAGTAGGGAAACACTAGTCTCTGTAACTCTTGTAGGTTTTGTTACTGTTGGTAGTAACATACAGTTACTCATTGTGTTTGTGAATTCAGTAACGTGTGGGTCCTGGTCTTGCAGGAGATTTATATTGAAGTCACCTGAGAGTAGTAAGTGATCTTTGTTCATGCGTGCATCAGTTATCATACTTCCTAGATTTTGACTAAAATTGGCTAATGTTTGACTGTGGAACTCTGTAGATGTTTATCAATGTGAGAGGTTTTTGTAGGTATTTGGATTTGAATTTAGCTATTATATATTCCCCATGTTCATCCCTTGTGCAAGTATTAGTGATACATTCTAGTTGGTCTGAGTAGTATATGGCTGTGCCACCCCTTGTTGGTCTGGCCTACAGTTGTGTATGGCTGTGTAACCAGGAATGGCATAGACATCTGTACTATCAGGCTTTAGCCAGGTTTCAGTTAGTGTAATGATGGACATATTGGCATGTAAGGAATTTAGTAATGCTATGAGGTCATCGTAATGCTTGCTTAATGATCTGATATTGTAGTTAAAGATAGTTATGTTGTTGTTGGCACTGAGAAGTGCCTTTGATTGTTCTGCAGTGTAGTAATTACAGTAACTGTTTGATTTCATTTAAGTCATTAAATAAGAGGTTGGTATCAGGATCAATGCTTGTAATCATAAGATTTGTAGTGAATCTATAGTTAGAATTAAGTATAAAACAAAGTAAATAGTCTTAAGCTAAAAAATAGCACCTGAATTATTTAACAAATGTAAAATAATGAGCTAAGGGACTAATACAAATAAAGTGATGATCATATAATAGTGCTTGGGAATATGATAGTAGGTAGTACTATAAAGGTAATTTTTTAAAGTTATTATTATAGTTTAAAATTATAATAAAAAGGGACTAATATAGGTTGTGAATAAATGAGCTTTGGAATATAATGGCAAGATTGTGAGCTTATTCTACTTTAGCACCTGAGAATAGCACCTTGATTATTTTAACAGTTGTGGATATATAAACTAGGATAGTTATATAAAGCTAAAATAAAGGAGAAAATATAAAAGGGACTAAAATTAAGTAATGGTAAGCAAAGTTAAATGGACAGATGGTAGGAATTATAATATAAACTTATAATATAAAAATACAATTTGAAATGGTACTTGCAATTGCACTAGAGTCTGGTATGGGTTGTTGACAAGATCAAGGTTATAACTATAGATTTAAATTGACAAAATAAAATTCACAATTAAAGTACAAAAGAATAATAGTAAAAAATCACAAATGGTAATGTCTTGGTTATAATATGATAGTAAGATGGTAGACAGGTACCCAGGTACACAGGTACAAAGGATAATACAAGGTTGGGGTTGAATATAAAAACTTGAAAATTTGGCAAAAAAATGTTATGGGAAGTATAAAATAATGTTTAATGTACAAAAGTAAAATTGACTGGTAGTAAATATGGTGTTTAATAAAATTTTAGTAAGTAATAATGATTACAAAAAAGTGAATTAGTAATGTTTATTTCATTCAATATTGCACTGGTAGTTATACTTGAGGTTATATGGCAGTACAAGGTAATTAAGAGTAATCTAGGATAGTAAATGTGGATAGTAAATGTAGTATAGGCTTCATCACTGGAATACAGGGATGAATTACGCTCTTGGAGAGCTCAGCTTTGGTGGAAGGCCAAGGGGAAAGGAAGTTTGAAGACTACATAAAACTACCTCCCCACTTCGCCTCCGTCTCACCAAAGCTGTTCTCTCCGAGAGTATTAGGGTTGTCCTAGGTTCTCTACACATATGCTGCTATGTATGATAATCTATGTAACTATTTGTGTATACGTGAACAAACTTACTAACCCACTCAGCTCACACATTGGGGTCCAGAGTTCGAATCCCCGGCACGGATGGATAACATTTGGACGTGTTTCCATAAGACATCTGCTGTCCATGTTCACCCATCAGTATAAAATGAGTACCTGAGTGTTAGTGGTGGCCCGGTGGTCTGGTGGCTAAAGCTCCCGCTTCACACACGGAGAGCCCGGGTTCGATTCCCGGCGGGTGGAAACATTTCGACACGTTTCCTTACACCTGTTGTCCTGTTCACCTAGCAGCAAATAGGTACCTGGGTGTTAGTCGACTGGTGTGGGTCGCATCCTGGGGTACAAGATTAAGGACCCCAATGGAAATAAGTTAGACAGTCCTCGATGACGCACTGACTTTCTTGGGTTATCCTGGGTGGCTAACCCTCCGGGGTTAAAAATCCGAACGAAATCTTATCTTATCTTATCTTATCTTATCTGTCGGCTGGTGTGGGTCGCCTTCTGGGGGATCAAATTGACCTAATTTGACTGAAATGCTCTGCATAACAAGTGGTTTTCTATATAGTAGTATGTCATTGATCATCAGCTCACATACTGAGGATCTAGAGTCGATCCCCGGCACGGGTGAAATGTTGGGCACGTTTCTTTGTACATTCTGCCTCTAACAATCCTTGACAAACTTTGGTAATTCTTAACCTAAACATCTTTGGCAGCCCTTAACAGCCCTATACAAGCTTTAATAGCCCATAACAACCCTCAAACTTTAGTAACCTGAACAAGCCTTGGTAGCCCTTAACAACCCTCAAACATTAGTAACCTCAACAAGCCTTGGTAGCCCTTACACAACCCTCAAACATTAGTAAACCCTCAACAAGCCTTGGTAGCCCTTAACAACCCTCAAAAAGCTTTGGTAGCCTTTAACAACCCTCAACTACAACTACAAAATGTCTGCTTTCCATAGCCAATGACAATGATATTTAAGACATGAAAACTGATCAGGCAGCTTGTATTGTCTAGCCAGATGATTAAGCTTAACAGCTGAGCACTGTGTGAGCCATGGAGGTTGATGGAGTCCCATCACAGGTGAGTAATAAAGCTTTTGTGAGATAGATACACCCTTTGAATTTGAATTGAATTTTGTATGGAGGTGCCACTGAGTTATTATATGTCCCTTGTATGGTGGTGCTGCTGTGTTATTATATGTTCCTTGTATGGAGTTGCTGCTGAGTTATTATATGTCCCTTGTATGGAGGTGCTGCTGAGTTATTATATGTTCCTTGTATGGAGGTGCTGCTAAGTTACTATATGTCCCTTGTATGGAGGTGCTACTGAGTTATTATATGTCCCTTGTATGGAGGTGCTGCTGTGTTATTATATGTTCCTTGTATGGAGGTGCTGCTGAGTTATTATATGTCCCTTGTATGGAGGTGCTGCTGAGTTATTATATGTTCCTTGTATGGAGGTGCTGCTAAGTTATTATATGTCCCTTGTATGGAGGTGCTGCTGAATTATTATATGTCCCTTGTATGGAGGTGCTACTGAGTTATTATATGTCCCTTGTATGGAGGTGCTGCTGTGTTATATGTTCCTTGTATGGAGGTGCTGCTGAGTTATTATATGTCCCTTGTATGGAGGTGCTGCTGAATTATTATATGTCCCTTGTATGGAGGTGCTACTGAGTTATTATATGTCCCTTGTATGGAGGTGCTGCTGTGTTTATATGTTCCTTGTATGGAGGTGCTGCTGAGTTATTATATGTCCCTTGTATGGAGGTGCTGCTGAGTTATTATATGTTCCTTGTATGGAGGTGCTGCTAAGTTATTATATGTCCCTTGTATGGAGGTGCTGCTGTGTTATTATATGTCCCTTGTATGGAGGTGCTGCTGAATTATTATATGTCCCTTGTATGGAGGTGCTACTGAGTTATTATAGTCCCTTGTATGGAGGTGCTGCTGAGTTATTATATGTCCCTTGTATGGAGGTGCTACTGAGTTATTATATGTCCCTTGTATGGAGGTGCTACTGAGTTATTATATGTCCCTTGTATGGAGGTGCTACTGAATTATTACATGTCCCTTGTATGGAGGTGCTGCTGTGTTATTATATGTCCCTTGTATGGAGGTGCTGCTGTGTTATTTTATGTCCCTTGTATGGAGGTGCTGCTGAGTTATTATATGTCCTTTGTATGGTGCTGCTTAGTTATTACATGTCCCTTGTATGGAGGTGCTGCTGAGTTATTATATGTCCCTTGTATGGAGGTGCTACTGAGTTATTATATGTCCCTTGTATGGAGGTGCTACTGAATTATTACATGTCCCTTGTATGGAGGTGCTGCTGTGTTATTATATGTCCCTTGTATGGAGGTGCTGCTGTGTTATTTTATGTCCCTTGTATGGAGGTGCTGCTGAGTTATTATATGTCCTTTGTATGGTGCTGCTTAGTTATTACATGTCCCTTGTATGGAGGTGCTGCTGAGTTATTATATGTCCCTTGTATGGAGGTGCTACTGAGTTATTATATGTCCCTTGTATGGAGGTGCTGCTGAATTAGTTGTGTTGCTTGACCAGTTACTTTATTTTTTGAGGAAAAATCCATTAATAGTCATAAGTTTATTTTTATGCCATCAATAATATCAGCTATTCCTAAATCAAATTTAAATCGTATTTTTGTAAAAATTATCATATGTCGTTTTATTATGTCTTCATCACAAAAATTATATTAGTCATTTCATATATAATTTCTTCATGTAGGGAATAAACACAATGTTTAGTTACAATCACAGATACATATAAGGACGTATTTTATTATCATTATAACACCATTATTGTGTTGGAATCTCTTCGTAAAACGTTTTATTTGTTTAGCTGATGGAAATGGGGATACAGTCTTGAGAGTTTAAATATTAACAATGAAATGTTTTGTTTATATCCTGTGAAATTTTCATGGAGGTTTCTGTGAAATTCTGAATGTTTGTACACTCAAAGATATAGTGTCTCAGTGTATAATACTGTCACTGTCCACACACTGGTGTACGATCCTGTCACTGACCACATGCTGGTGTATGACACTGTTTTTGACCACACTAGTGTATGAAACTGTCTCTGTCTATACACTGTGTTTAACATCAATGACATTTCTATACAAACCATGCTGCCAGAAATATTTCTAGCCTAGCCTTACTCTAGCAGTAACAACATCTTGCACCCTACTGGCCTTGTTGCTTTTTCTGTGCTTAATTTTAATGTGGCATATTTCATTATGATGGATGATTGATCTGCTGGTAGTTTTACTTTCTTTATCCTCATTTGCTTGCACTAAATCTCCAAGGTTCTGCTAGAAAAAATGATAGGATGGATAATGAGAACCTTCAAAACTAGGGACACCAAGCTCATGATGATTCTCTTCAAATTGCTTCCCCTCAAGGAAGATTCCTTGATGTTGGTGAGGGGCTCTTGATTTAGGGAATTGGATCTGTGCTCCAGTTCCCCGAATTAAGCCTGAATGCCTTCTACATCCCCCTCCCAGGCGCTGTATAATCCTCCAGGTTTAGCGCTTCCCCCTTGATTATAATAATAATTCAAATTGCTTGTTCTCTCTAGGCTGGAATGCTACTGTACACTAACTGCCCTCTTCAAGGCTGGCAAAATTGCTGACCTGGAGAGTGTACAAAGAAGTTTCATGGCACACACAAGTACGATAAGTCACCTAAATTACGTACTGGGAGTGCTTGAAGTTCTTTGATTTGTATTCCCTGGAATGCAAGGAGGAAAGATGCATGCTAATAGTATACCAAACTTGCACACGAAAATCACTCCCTACGAAAGCAGAAGACTCGGCAGGAGATGCAATATTCCTCAATGAAAAGCAGGGGTGCCATGAATACACTAAGAGACAACACAGTAAGTGTCAGGGGCCCATGACTGTTCAGCTGCCTCCCAGCATATATAACAGGGATTACCAATAGACCCCTGACTGTCTTCGAAAAGGTGCTCGACAGACACCTAAGTCAGTACCTGATCAGCGGGGATGTGGTTCGTACGTCAGTTTATGTGTGGCCAGCATTAATAGCCTTGTTGATCAGACTCTGATCCACTATGAGGCCTGGTCTCAGACCGGGCTGAAGGGGCAGTGACCTCCAGGTAGCACTAGCAAATGGGAGGTAATCAGGTTGAATCCAAGAATGATAATTAACTCTGTTTTCTTGGATTAAAAGCCCTTTACCAGCATCAAGGCACTCCCTACCCCTTTGAATTAAATGCTTCCTTAGAGTTGCTATTTACGACATGAAACAAAACTGCAGCAGGCCACCAGCAGCAACAACCTGATTGACCAAGCACCAGACAAGCCTTGGCCCATGGCTGGGTCCTGGGAATAGAAAGACTCTTGGAACTCATCAAAGGTATATCAAAGATAAGGTATACCTAAGTTTTCAGACAGCTTGTTAGGTGAGTGTGTTGCATCCTGAGGAGAACCAAAGGACCTAGGTAAAAATACAGTAGGACCCCAGTATTTGCCAGTCCACAGTTTCAGTTATCCGTGGTTTATCGTTGCCCAAAAATAACCCTTAAGCTTTTTTAATAATGGCTTCAGAGTGCAAAAGTAGTGATGGTGGAAGTTCTTCAAACCCTAAGAAAAGCTGTGGAGTGTTTCCCATCAGTGGAAATGTAATAATTCTCTATTTAGTGTGTGTAATTTATCAATTAAATTTTATAATAGGTATGTATAGAACCTACATATAGGGCTTGCTACTATCTGTGGTTTCGGTACTCACAGTATGTAGGTCCTTGTACCTTATACAGTGGACCCCAGCATAACGATCACCTCCGAATGCGACCAATTATGTAAGTGTATTTATGTAAGTGCGTTTGTACATGTATGTTTGGGGGTCTGAAATGGACTAATCTACTTCACAATATTCCTTATGGAACAAATTCGGATAGTACTGGCACCTGAACTACTTCTGGAGTGAAAAAATTTTCGTTAACCGGGGGTCCACTGTACTCTGTGGATATGGGGGTTCTACTATATACCACATTGATTTGACTTTCTTGGGTTATCCTTGGTTACTAATCCTCCTTAAAAAATTTGTTATACAATAATGTACAGTAATTTCTTTGCTTTATTTTGTTACACTGTTCCAATATACAGTGGACCCCCGGTTAACAATATTTTTTCATTCCAGAAGTATGTTCAGGTGCCAGTACTGACCGAATTTGTTCCCATAAGGAATATTGTGAAGTAGATTAGTCCATTTCAGACCCCCAAACATACACGTACAAACGCACTTACATAAATACACTTACATAATTGGTCGCATTTGGAGGCGATCGTTAAGCGGGGGTCCACTGTATAACCCAGTGTAGACTACAGTAAGCTGTGATTTTTACTTATTCTGTATCTCTGTTTACTTGCAGGATGACCATGGTCTCAGGCGTCTGCTTCCTCTGTACCACTTTCTACAAAATACATGTGTGAAAGCTGCTTTTGACATCCTTGTTCGTGAATTCAGAAATACCCAGTACATCAGAGACAACCTTGATAAGCAAGTTAAACGTTCAATGAAATTCCAGGTCTTGCTCTATCAGATTCACAACAGAACTAAGACTTACGATAAAGGAAAAAAGAAAAAAGGACAAGGTGGGAGTGGAACTAATTCACAGTCCCAAGAGAACAGCTCCCACAACAGAAGATCGCAACAGATAACCAATATTAAGGAAAATGAATATATACTCTCACAGGTCACAGTGGAGGATTTGCTCAATGCCAATGAGAAATGCAAAGTGCTTATGGACTTAGATTTGATCTTTATTCTAAATGTGATAATAAATGAAACTATCAAGTACACTTTGAGCGATTCATTACTGGAAGCCATTATTCAGATAAAGGACATCAGGAAAGTTGTTTTCCACCCACGTTACTCTTTTAGTGAGGATGCCTTTGACAAAAATCTGAAAGGCTTGGTTAAAGCAACTTACATCTTGTATAAGCACTTGGGCTACTCATTAGAACAAGTGGACGAGAAAGAAAATGCATGCCGTAAGGAAGCCACACAGGGTGATACACTTGCATCTACAATTATAGGTTTGTAGCAGATTACTTTCATTTATTTAATATTAGTATCTGGCATGAAGTCAAAGTCCTGGACCAGTTGTCTTTAAATTAAATCGTCAATTGACAAAATAAATTACATGGTGTATAGATGGATGAATGATAGCGTTAGCTGACACATTATGAGAAACACATTATGTTTGAAGCAAAGCTGTTACATTGTTTTATCTATGACTGGACTTTATAGAATATCAAGGTCAGGCACTGAAGATGTAATATATGAAGTCGATCTGTTGGAGTGTGAGCAGGGTAATATTTAGTGAAGGGATTCAGGGAAACCGGTTATTTTCATATAGTCGGACTTGAGTCCTGGAAATGGGAAGTACAATGCCTGCACTTTAAAGGAGGGGTTTGGGATATTGGCAGTTTGGAGGGATTTACCTGGAGTTTACCTGGAGAGAGTTCCGGGGGTCAACGCCCCCGCGGCCCGGTCTGAGACCAGGCCTCCTGGTGGATCAGAGCCTGATCAACCAGGCTGTTGCTGCTGGCTGCACGCAAACCAACATACGAGCCACAGCCCGGCTGATCCGGAACTGACTTTAGGTGCTTGTCCAGTGCCAGCTTGAAGACTGCCAGGGGTCTGTTGGTAATCCCCCTTATGTGTGCTGGGAGGCAGTTGAACAGTCTCGGGCCCCTGACACTTATTGTATGGTCTCTTAACGTGCTAGTGACACCCCTGCTTTTCATTGGGGGGATGGTGCATCGTCTGCCAAGTCTTTTGCTTTCGTAGTGGGTGATTTTCGTGTGCAAGTTCGGTACTAGTCCCTCTAGGATTTTCCAGGTGTATATAATCATGTATCTCTCCCTCCTGCGTTCCAGGGAATACAGGTTTAGGAACCTCAAGCGCTCCCAATAATTGAGGTGTTTTATCTCGTTATGCGCGCCGTGAAAGTTCTCTGTACATTTTCTAGGTCGGCAATTTCACCTGCCTTGAAAGGTGCTGTTAGTGTGCAGCAATATTCCAGCCTAGATAGAACAAGTGACCTGAAGAGTGTCATCATGGGCTTGGCCTCCCTAGTTTTGAAGGTTCTCATTATCCATCCTGTCATTTTTCTAGCAGATGCGATTGATACAATGTTATGGTCCTTGAAGGTGAGATCCTCCGACATGATCACTCCCAGGTCTTTGACGTTGGTGTTTCGCTCTATTTTGTGGCCAGAATTTGTTTTGTACTCTGATGAAGATTTAATTTCCTCATGTTTACCATATCTGAGTAATTGAAATTTCTCATCGTTGAACTTCATATTGTTTTCTGCAGCCCACTGAAAGATTTGGTTGATGTCTGCCTGGAGCTTTGCAGTGTCTGCAATGGAAGACACTGTCATGCAGATTCGGGTGTCATCTGCAAAGGAAGACACGGTGCTGTGGCTGACATCCTTGTCTATGTCGGATATGAGGATGAGGAACAAGATGGAGCTAGTACTGTGCCTTGTGGAACAGAGCTTTTCACCGTAGCTGCCTCGGACTTTACTCTGTTGACGACTACTCTCTGTGTTCTGTTAGTGAGGAATTATGATCCATCGACCGACTTTCCTGTTATTCCTTTGCACGCATTTGTGCGCTATACGCCATGGTCACACTTGTCGAGGCTTTGCAAGTCTGTATTATTACATCTGCATTCTTTTTGTCTTCTAGTGCATTTAGGACTTGTCGTAGTGGTCCAATAGTTGAGACAGACAGGAGCGACCTGTTCTAAACCCATGTTGCCCTGGTTGTGTAACTGATGGGTTTCTAGATGCGTGGTGATCTTGCTTTTAGGACCCTTCAAAGATTCTTATGATATGGGATGTTAGTGCTATTGGTCTGTAGTTCTTGCTGTTGCTTACTGCCCCTTTGTGGAGTGGGGCTATGTCTGTTGTTTTTAGTAACTGTGGGACGACCCCCGTGTCCATGCTCCCTCTCCATAGGATGGAAAAGGCTCGTGATAGGGGCTTCTTGCAGTTCTTGATGAACACAGAGTTCCATGAGTCTGGCCCTGGGCAGAGTGCATGGGCATGTCATTTATCGCCTGTTCGAAGTCATTTGGCGTCAGGATAACATCGGATAGGCTTGTGTTAATCAATTTGTGGCTCTCTCATAAAAAATTCATCTTGATCTTCGACTCTCAGTCTGGTTAGCGGCTTGCTAAAAACTGAGTCATATGGGACTTGAGTAGCTCACTCATTTCCTTGTTGTCATCTGTGTAGGACCCATCTTGTTTAAGTAGGGGCCCAATACTGGACGTTGTTCTCGATTTGATTTGGCATAGGAGAAGAAATACTTTGGGTTTCTTTCGATTTCATTTATGGCTTTTAGTTCTTCCCGCGATTCCTGACTCTAAAGGATTCTTTTAGCTTAAGTCGATGCTTGCTATTTCTCTAGACCGTGTTCCCTACGCATTTCAGATATATGACCTCTTTAGAGCGCTCTGTTATTCTTTTCCGTCGACGGATATGTTGTGTATCTTTATATGTGTATGCTTCTAGACTGTTGTATTCTGAGCACCTCTGCAAAAACAGTGATAATGTGCGAGTGTGGTGAAAGTGTTGAATGATGATGAAAGTATTTTCTTTTTGGGGATTTTCTTTCTTTTTTTGGGTCACCCTGCCTCGGTGGGAGACGGCCGACTTGTTGAAAAAAAAAAAAAAAAAAAAAAATGAGGAGACTCATAACTCAATATGGATATTACAGTAAACCCTGGATATAACTTACTAATGGGGGGGGGGTGATTCTCAGAGTTAGTTAAATGAGAATGTTAAAAATTGCAGAAAAGCACCATCTCTATAGTATACATAATACGGTACTGTAAACAAAATTTACAATTTTTTTTTTTTAACAAGTTGGCCATCTCCCACTGAGGCAGGGTTACCCAAAAAGAAAGAAAATCCCCAAAAAGAAAATACTTTCATTATCATTCAACACTTTCACCTCACTCATACATAATCACTGTTTTTGCAGAGGTGCTCAGAATACAACAGTTTAGAAGCATATACGTATGAAGATACACAACATATCCTTCCAAACTGCCAATATCCCAAACCCCCCCCCCCTTTAAAGTGCAGGCATTGTACTTCCCATTTCCATGACTCAAGTCCGGCTATATAAAAATAAACGGTTTCCCTGAATCCCTTTACTAAATATTACCCTGCTCACACTCCAACTGTTCGTCAGATCCCAAATACCATTCGTCTTCATTCACTATCTAATTTGCTCACACATGCTTGCTGGAAGTCCAACCCCCTTACCCACAAAACCTCCTTTACCCCCTCCCGCCAAACTTTTCGAAGACGACCCCTACCCCGCCTTCCTTCCCCAAGTTTTTAAGCTCTCCATCCCATTCTACTTTGTTCCATTCTCCTTATGCCCAAAAGCCCCCTCAAAAACCCCTTTCTTACCCCTCTGCAAATACTTTTTTAACTCCACATTTTCCCCAAATTTCCAAAACCCCAAAAATTCTTGCATAATTTTTTAACAAAAATTTGGGCCCTTAGACAGGAATCTCCCTACCCCAATGCCTCCTTGCTGCAGCATTTAAACCAAGACACGTATAAGAGTGTTGGTACCCCTTACTTTCATACTTCCCTTGTTTGCCTCCATAGATAAGTTTTTTGTCTTTAAAAATTACCCCAACGACCCCCCACCTTTTTTCTTTTCAATTCTTGGTTAACCCATCTTATAATCCCCTCCCTGAACCTCAATAAATTCGAAAAAATTGTTTCTTCCTATCCTCCCATTTGAATCCAATTTTTTTTACAAATCATTTTTTACCCTATCACCCTTTTCTTTTTATGTTCACTTTAAAATTTCTACCTTTACACACACTTCCAAATCGTTCCCCTAACCTTTTCATCTTTTCTTTAGAATCTCCTAAGCACAGTGTCTCAGCAAAAAATAACTGTGTCAGTTCCATTTTTTTTTTTGATTCCCCCTAATTTAAACCCAAACCTTTCCCCCCAAAACCCAGCATTTTTCTTCTTTTTCAACCCCATCTATAATATATTAAACAACCATGGTGACATTACACATCCCTGTCTAAGACCTACTTTTACCGGAAAGTAGTCTCCCTCTTTCTACACATCCTAACCTGAGCCTCACTATCCTCATAAAAACTCTTTACAGCATTTAGTAACTTACTACCTATTCCATATACTTGCAACATCTGCCACATTGCTCCCCTATCCACTCTATCATATGCCTTTTCTAAATTCAAAATGCAATAAAAACTTTCCTACCTTTATCTAAATACTGTTCACATATATGTTTCAATGTAAACACTTGATCTACACATCACCTACACACTCTAAAACCTCCTTGCTCATCCGCACTCCTGCATTCTGTCTTACCTCTAATTCTTTCAATAATAACCCTACCATGCACTTTTCCTGGTATTTATTTTTTTTTTATTATCACACTGGCCGATTCCCACCAAGGCAGGGTGGCCCGAAAAAGAAAAACTTTCACCATCATTCACTCCATCACTGTCTTGCCAGAAGGGTGCTTTACACTACAGTTTTTAAACTGCAACATTAACACCCCTCCTTCAGAGTGCAGGCACTGTACTTCCCATCTCCAGGACTCAAGTCCGGCCTGCCGGTTTCCCTGAACCCCTTCATAAATGTTACTTTGCTCACACTCCAACAGTACGTCAAGTATTAAAAACCATTCGTCTCCATTCACTCCTATCAAACACGCTCACGCATGCCTGCTGGAAGTCCAAGCCCCTCGCACACAAAACCTCCTTTACCCCCTCCCTCCAACCTTTCCTAGGCCGACCCCTACCCCGCCTTCCTTCCACTACAGACTGATACACTCTTGAAAGTCATTCTGTTTCGCTCCATTCTCTCTGCATGTCCGAACCACCTCAACAACCCTTCCTCAGCCCTCTGGAAAACAGTTTTTGTAATCCCGCACCTCCTCCTAACTTCCAAACTACGAATTCTCTGCATTATATTCACCACCACACATTGCCCTCAGACATGACATCTCCACTGCCTCCAGCCTTCTCTCGCTGCAACATTCATCACCCATGCTTCACACCCATATAAGAGTGTTGGTAAAACTATACTCTCATACATTCCCCTCTTTGCCTCCAAGGACAAAGTTCTTTGTCTCCACAGACTCCTAAGTGCACCACTCACCCTTTTCCCCTCATCAATTCTATGATTCACCTCATCCTTCATAGACCCATCCGCTGACACGTCCACTCCCAAATATCTGAATACATTCACCTCCTCCATACTCTCTCCCTCCAATCTGATATCCAATGTTTCATCACCTAATATTTTTCTTATCCTCATAACCTTTCTCATAACCTGGTATACTCAGTAAACTTATTCCTCTATAATTTTTACAATCTCTTTTGTCCCCCTTCCCTTTATATAAAGGAATTACATGCTCTCTGCTAATCCCTGGGTACTTTCCCCTCTTTCATACATTTATTAAACAAAGATACCAACCACTCCAACATTATATCCCCCCCTGCTTTTAACATTTCTGTCATGATCCCGTCAGTTCCAGCTGCTTTACCCCCGTTCATTCTATGTAATGCCTCATGCACCTCCGCCACACTCACATCCTGTTCTTCACTCCTAAAAGATGGTATACCTCCCTGTCCAGTGAATGAAATTACCGCCTCCCTTCATCGACATTTAAAAGTTCCTCAAATTATTCCCACCATCTACATAGTACCTCCATCTTCCCATCTACTAACTCCCCTACTCTGTTTTTAACTGACAAATCCATTCGTTCCCTAGGCTTTCTTAACTTGTTTATCTCACTCCAAAATTTTTTGACAATGCCTCTCCCACTCTATCATCTGTTCTCCTTTTACACTCTCTCACCACTCTCTTCACCTTTCTTTTGCTCTCCATATACTCTGCTCTTCTTATAACATTTCTGCTTTGTAAAAACCTCTCATAAGCTACCTTTTTCTCTTTATCACACCTTTACTTCATTCCACCAATCACTCCTCTTTCCTCCTGCACACTCCCTCCTATAGCCACAAACTTCTGCCCCACATTCTAATACCGCATTTTTAAAACTATTCCAACCCTCTTCAACCCCCCCCCACTACTCATACTTGCACTAGCCCACCTTTCTGCCAATAGTTGCTTATATCTTACCCGCTTCTTCCTCCCTTAGTTTATACACTGTCACCTCTCTCTTACTTGTTGTTGCCATTTTCCTTGTGTCCCATCTACCTCTTACTCTAACTGTAGCTACAACTAAATAATGATCCGATATATCAGTTGCCCCTCTATAAAAGTGTACATCCTGAAGCCTACCCATCAACCTTTTATCCACCAATATATAATCTAACAAACTACCTTGTATATTTATTTATCCTCTTTTTCATAAAATATGTATTACTTATTACCAAACCTTTTTCTACACATAGCTCAATTAAAGGCTTCCCATTTTCAGTTACCCCTGGCACCCCAAATTTACCTACTACTCCCTCCACAACATTTTTACCCACTCTAGCATTGAAATCCCCAACCACAAGTACTCTCACACTTGGTTCAAAACTCCCCACACACTCACTCAATTCCCAAAACCTCTCTCTCTCCTCTACACTTCTCTCTTCTCCAGGTGCATATATGCTTACTATAACCCACTTTTCACATCGAACCTTTATTTTACTTCACATAGTCCTTGACTTAATACATTTATACTCCCTCTTTTCCTGCCATAGCTTATCCTTCAACATTATTGCTATTCCTTCTTTAGCTCTAACTTTATTTGCAGTGCCTGCACTCTGAAGGATGGATGGATATATGTTGCAGTTTTTGTACTGTAGTGTCAGCACACCTCTGGCAAGACAGTGATGGAGTGAATGAGGATGAAAGTGTTTCTTCTTTTTCGGATCACTCTGCCTCATTGGGAAATTCCAGCCGATGTGTTAATAAAAATATGCAATAAATGTTAAAAATAAATGAGTTCAAAGAGCAGTTTACCGTGTGGATTTTGCCTGTTATTTCAGCAGTCCATTATATCAAAGTGCTTTACACTAAAAGTTTACTGCATTTGAGTTGTATCTTTTCATGACCTCACTTTGGAAAAATAGGCACAAATGCAGTATCATGTGATTATTGACTACATTTCTCCCATGCAGTGGGAAAAATGTTATCAGTAAAGGATTGCATTATACATACTGCATTTGTATCTATTTTTCCAGGGTGTTGGTATTTTATACTATTTATCTCCATGGCGTGGCCCATAGCTGGACTCTGGGAGTAGGTTAGGTAAGGTTTGTCAGGAAACAGGACAAGTATTTCCTGACACGGGTCTCGGACATATGATGACCCGCCGTAGGAGCTTTTGGTCATCTGACCGAGGCCTTCTGCTGGCTTACCGGTCTGCTCCTTTAAAAATTATGGTCATAGTTATAACCATTTTTTTTTCATTAGTTCCCTGGGAGTGACCTCACTGTCGCCACACTTGTGACCTTTCATTAGTCCTGCCTCAGGATGCCCATGACCTTTCACGAGCCCTGCTTCAGGGTGTTTAGTATTAGACATATAAAGCCGTGTATCTGTGTGCTTTTGTGTATAGCACATGATAAAGTCATGGAAAAAAAATGTAATGGTTTTACTACAAACGAGGGAGGTACAGTGACTGCATTCTGTAGTAAGAGGTGGTGATACTTCAGTTCAGAGGGTCTTCCTTGTCAAGACGGTGATTGAATGGATGATGGTAACGGTGTTTCTTCTTTTGGGGGGATGGGGGAGGTAGGATCACTACCTCAATGGGAAACAGCTGGTGTGTTAAAAAATAGAAAAGATACTTAGTACAAGTGACCCTTGTACTTATGACCTACTAAATTGGTTTAAGGAGAGCCGCACTTGATTGAAACATTGCAAGTCAAAAGCTAATTTCCCATTGTTGCAAATTAGGATTCCATTCTTGGGAACCAGATTCAAACCCTTAAAACAGGTTTTTGAGGAATCAGCAGGGGAAAAGGGTCGTAAATGTAGGGATGCAAGTTGGGGGTCACCGGTAATACCTTGCTCAGTCAAATATGGTAGATATAATACTGGAGACAAGTAATTTTGAGGTGATCAGTCCCACAGTCTTAATAGAAGGTAGTCAGTTCCTGTTTTAGCAATAAACATGCCCAAGTGTTGTACGTGTTTCATTCATCAATCTGTTGGTATTGTGTACTATTAATATGAAAATGGATTTTACTGCTGCATACATGCCCTTAATCTTTTTATAGTTGAGTATATGAAGTAAGCATGTGTGAGCTTATTTGATAGGAGTCAATGGAGACAAATGGTTTTTAATACTTGACTTGCTATTATTGAAGTGTGAGCAAAGGAACATTTATGAAGGGATTCAGGGAAACCGGCAGGCCGGACTTGAGTCCTGGGGATGGAGGGGTGTTAATGTTGCAGTTTTATAACTGTAGTGTAAGTGCGCCTCTGTCAAAACATTGATGGAGTGAATGATGATGAAAGTTTTTCTTTTTTGGGCCACCCTGCCATGGTGGGAATCGGCCGATGTGTTGATAAAAAAAAATATGAAGTAATCTCTTCAAAGTATAGAGGACAAATAAAAGGAATTTATTACATTTTTTGTGTTTAATCTGTTTACTATGCTTTATTTAACGTATTTTTCACATATAGCTTAATGTGCTGTATTTTTTACATATGAATTTTGTTCAGCATGTTTTTAATATACATTAATTTATTTTATCAGATGAACTGCAGTCTGAATTCCGTACAAAGTATGCAGCCCATCAAAATTTCATTGCTCCTAATATTTCAAATGCAGAGTAAGTGATATATACTATTTCACGTTGGTTTTTATAATATTTTACACTGTTTAATTATTACAGCTTTGTCGATTTTCAGTTTAACATGAACAGAAAATGCACATTTTTGGGCGCATGCTTGTGCAAGCCTGCACAAGCGCGCGCGCGCGCACACACACACACACACACACACACACACACACACACACACACACAGGGCCGGATTACCGCATAGGCAAACTAGGCATTTGCCTAGGGCCCCGCGCATTTGGGGGCCCCGCGGTCCAAGGGGTTCAGGGGCTCATCCAAGACTGCGCACATGGTGCAAGTGCAAAGGGGCCCCTAAAAATAAAAATAAATAAACCTAACCATAGATGGCAACACTCAACACGCCTTTGTTTACATCAGAACAGCTGTGTTTTCCCGCTAATGGGTGAGTGTGGGAGATTCCTCTCCAATTTTCTGTAGTAATTACACGTTATCTAGACTTGTACTGTGACAAATTAACTGAAGAAATGTAAGACAGCTACATACTTCGTCATTCTGGATTCACTGATTACAGAATTGGTGAAAAGAAAAGAAATCTACTCAGAATCTCAATGACAAGTTTGGATTTCTGTTCAAAATTACTACTATGCCAGATGCAGAATTGAGAGAAGCTGCATTAAAGTTGCAACAACACCTTTCAGCAGATGTTCAGGACACATTTGTTGAAGAAATAGTTCATTTTTCTGGGTATATGAATCAGATTAAAGCTCCACCTGAAAAATGTGCGCCCTCAGCTGCTTTGAAACATTTAAGAAATGCAGGTATCTCAGAAACCTTCCCTAATGTTGACATAGTGTATCGCCTTTACCTAACACTCCAGCTACTAACTGTGAAGGAGAACGTTCATTTTCTGTTTTGAAAAGAGTGAAAAACCAGCTCCGTTCAACAATGAGCCAAGACAAATTGTGTAACCTAGCCTTGTTGACCATTGAGTCTGATCTAACAAGAAATATTGATTTTCAGAATATAATTGATGATTTTGCCAATATGAAATCCAGAAAAAGTTTAAGAAGTGCCTGTGAATACAAACAATTCTTTACTTTCTTGAGTTTATATGATTTGATAGTCTTATGCATGATGCAATGATAACAATAATGGTCAGTGATTTATAAAGGGAATAATAGTGCTGTAGTGGTTATGCTGAATATAATAGGTACATGATGTCACTACTTTAATAGCCTAATCTAGTAATACTATGCTGTCTTGAGTTTATTCTCTTTAAAATGCATGATTTAACAAGATAGTTATAATGGCTGTTGGTAAATGGTTTTGGTTGTCTTGATGTACTTTCCCTATTAAATTTAATCTAAATAGCCAGAATGTATTATTACACTTAAACAGGCTCCACGACCCCCCCCACCCCCAAGCTGGAAGGGGTCGCTTCGCTTACCCGTAACTCAAAGGGGCCCCGCCAATCTGAATAGCCTAGGGCCCGGAAACTTCTTAATCCGGCCCTGCGCGCCGCAGCGCACACACACACACACACACACACACACACACACACCACTCACACCTCCACTACTACACACCCACCACTCACACACTCCTACACTCATCTCTCATCTCATCTCTCTCTCTCTCTCTCTCTTCTCTCTTCTCTTCTCTCTTCTCTCTCTATCCTTCTTCTCTCTTCTCTTCTCTCTCTTTCTCTCTCTCTCTCTTCTCTCTCTCTTCTTTCTCTCTCTTCTCTTCTCTCTTCTCTCCTCTCCTTTCTCTCTCTCTCTTTCTCTCTCTTCTTTCTCTCTCTCTTTCTTCTCTCTCTCTTCTCTCTCTTTCTCTCTCTCTCTTTCTCTCTCTTCTCTTTCTCTCTCTCTCTCTCTCTCTCTCTCTCTTTCCTCTCTCTCTCTCTCTCCTCTCTTCTCTCTCTCTCTCTCTCTCTCTCTTTCTTTTCTTCTCTCTCTCTCTCTTCTCTATCTCTCTCTCTCATCTCTTCTCTTCTCTCTCTCTCTCTCTCTCTCTCTCTTCTTCTTCTCTCTTCTCTCTCTTACTCTCTCTCTCTCTCTTACTCTCTCACTTTCATCTCTATGACATGTGCTGTTCTGTCCTCTTCTTAAATGTCTCATACAGGATAATCCACTCTCAGGATGATAGTCTGTCCACACTCATTGAAGGACGATAGTACTGTCCACTCTCTATGACAGATATATCTGTTCACACTCATAGACAGGATGATGTACTTGTCACTCATTATACATGAGAGATAGTACGCACACTCATATGAAGGATGATAGTACTGTCACACTCATATGACAGGATGATAGTACTGTCACACTTGTATGACAGATGATATCTTGTCACACTCATAGATGACAGGCATGATAGTACTGTCACACTCATATGACAGGATGATAGTACTGTCACACTCTATGACAGGTGATAGTCTGACCTCATGAAATATGATAGTATGTCATCATATGACAGGATGATAGTCTCACATTGCAGGTATAGTATGTCACTATATGACAGATATATATATTCACTCATATGACAGGATGATAGTAACTGTCACACTCATGTATAGGGATGATAGTACTGTCACACTTGTGATGGCAGGATGATAGTACTGTCACACTCATGTGAAAGGATGATAGTATTGTCATTCATATGACAGGATGATAGTCCTGTCACTATATGACAGGTGTGTATTGACACACTCATATGATCAGTGTTCACCCTGAATAGTCATCATATGACTTAGTGTGATATTACTGTCCTAACTCATGGTGTTGGATAGATTGTCTTTACCTCTGTGGCAGATGTAAGACTGTCAAACTGATAAATGATAGTTTGTCACTAATTATTATCTAGTGATTTGACTATACTGTACTTATTGACTTAGGGTGGATTGTCACACTACTATTGATAGTGTTTGTGACTCTAGTCTGAAGGTCATTGTGTTATACTGTTATTACCTGTTCTAGTTTTCCTTGCTGCTTTATTTGCATTGGGCAGCAAAGTCGTAAATATATTGTTCACACTACTTGGATGGTCATTGACTTAGTTACTTTTAGGACGTAGGACTGTAATCTATTATGAGCTTATTAGATCAGTGCTCAATTCCTATCTTATTTGTTCTTAAATTACTGTAATTACAGACTGTTCTAGACTAGTGATTCCTTCGCACAGCTTGTACTCGAGTGTTGTGGCACATAAATCATCGAGCAATTCAGTGATCCTGAGTTGATTACTACTAATATGTCCTGGACTGTGTCTGTCTAGTGGTAGATCTCTTATGTGAACTTTAATTCCTGCAGTAGACGTGCTAATCCTGAATCCTTAATTGGCTACTTAGTGTCGTATAAATCGTCTTGTCCATGACTTCTGTTGGTCGCTGTTAGAACTCTGTTCACATGAATCTATTGTCTTAGACACTTGTTTTATTGTTCAGGAGCTATTCTGTACTTGCAGGTTGTCAAAGTGTGACAGTACTATCACTCTGTGAGATTAGTCACTGTTAGCTAGTTGCTATCTTGACATAACTTACTGGCACTTGTACTTAACACAGCATATTATTCTGTATATTATACTTATTATTACAGACTGTTAATTGAGCAGATTCTTGACATAAATTGATAGTGCCTTGCAGATGTGTCACGTACATGAGAGATAGCCGATTTATTATCTCCATTTCCTGATTCTTGTCCTGATTGCTATGTTATATTGCTAATTGCGCTAGCAAGTTGTTTTAATAATTTTAGGCAATATTCTAATTGCCAGTTAAAGTTTCAGTTGTAATGTGAGACTATAATCTATTGAATCTAGATATGAGTTTTGAGACAACGAACTGACTAGAGCACTTTCATAATACAACTGGAGACTTATGTTATAAAATCACATGTATTTGTAAATGTTATATGCCAGACGGTATATAAGACATAAATTTGAATGTCCTTCAGCACAGTACTACTGTACCAAAGATGATTGCTTATTATTGATTTTGATTAATTACTTTAATAAAAATACTCTATCATTTTGATATTAATAACTTTTCAATTTTAATTTCTCTATTAGTGCCTACCAGTTGTGTCCCGAAGCAACTTGATAATTCTTAATGAATTCTAAAGGTGAGATAATTGACCAGGACACTGACTACTTGTGTACGAAAACCCAGTAACAGGCTGGAATGCTCAGAGTTGGCATTCTCATTCTAGTAGTACACTGAGAATCTCTATGCTATGATCACATTTTTTGTAACAATAGGAGATATTACTGTCTAACCGTATACGGATGATAGTACTGTCACAATCAGAATGGCAGGATGATAGGGACTGTAATAGTATGACAGTACTATCTGTACCTAACTGCATGATTGCTCTCTTATCATTTTACTGCATATTACTTTAAACAAAGATTACTGCTATTCTTGGAACTTAACCTTTTTCTTTTACTTCTTACATTCTCCACAGAAATCTGTCTGAAAATCTTGAGAACTTCATTGACCAGGAAAGCAGAAGAGGTGAAGATAAGTTACCTATATTGTTGTGTGGTCACAGAGGCACAGGGAAGGCTCAAATACTCCAGAGTTTGGCTTTCTCATTTAGCCGGCTGCACAGTGACCTTGCATCGAAGTTCTTGCTGGTGCTACATTTAGACGACTGGGACAGAAGATACTGGTCTTGGGAAGTAACTGGGGAGGAGTTCTGGGACCAGATATTCAAATGCGTTAAAAGTTTAGCTCCAGGTACGGTAAGTAAATATGGATTGGATTCCATAAAGGAAGTAATTAAAATGTATAAAGATAGGATTCTCTTTCTAATAAATTTGGATGTCAGTGCTGTGGGCCATATACGCAAAGAGGTGCAGCAAGGTACGTGGTTGATTACTTATCATGGCTCGCATCCTCCATCTGTAGATTGGCAGATACTCAAAGTGAAACCATATGAAGAGGCTCAAGTCAAGACTTTATTAATGCATTTAAATTATGGGCATCATGAGGATATCCTTCGCTTATATGAAACTTGTGAATACAAAGGCATCCTCACATCGTTAGACATGATTAAGATCTTCAGTAAATTGACAAGCAAAGTTACCACCGGCACAGATTTTGACATTGCAAAGTTGTTTGTGTCTAAAGAGCTCAGTTTTCTGAATGATGAAGACCGTGAAGAACAGGTGCTAAAATTAGGAGAAATTGCATTTCATGCTATGCGCAAAGCTAGATCAGTTCTGGACGATAACGCACTCTGTAACGTCCAGCGTGAAGTTAAAGACAAGTTTCTCGTACATCTGGTAGGTAGCGGCTTAACCTTCATTCATTGTATAGTACAGGACTTTATGGCAGCAAAATATGTCATTTGTAACCCAGACAAGGCTTGCATGAAATGGCTGCAAAATACTGAGTCTTTCAAAAGAGTGTTTAAGTTTGCTTGTTCCTTGTGGTGCAAAGATCCAAATGAGTTGGAAAAGAATTTGGAATATATCAAACAGTATCTAATTCATCTTTTTAAAATAAAGGATCTAATAAAGTATAGGAAAAGCAACAGAAATAATGTGGGAAAGGTGGAAACAGTGGAAACTAATAAGAAGAAAAAACAGAAGTCTAAGAACAAGATTCCTGTTTTTGTAAACCCAGTGAAAGATCCGTTCACAAAATGGAATTTTATCTTGCATCTTGATGATGTTTGCAGGGACCTCAAAATTTTAGACCTGCTAGCTGACCTCCTCTCGCATATTCCTTGTTGGTCATTCAATGCTGAGAAATACTTTAATAATGGACAGTTAATCAGAATAGAGAAAATATTAAGTAAAGTGAAATTACATAAAGAATCACCAGTCATGATTAGGCTAGAAAGTGGTACAGGTGCTGACATGGAGATGCTCATTGAACTGTGGAATAAGATCAAAAATATTTCTAGCATTCATGACCGTTGCAGAATTAAAATTATAGTCACTTGCAATAGCAGTGTTCCTTTTGAACATGACAAGTGTGTTTCAGATTTTTTTAAAGTGATTGAAAGAGCCCACTGTCCAGTGTACATTTCACATTACACAGGGCCTTTCGTAGGTATTCCAAATATACTGAAATGTAAGTGCCTGAGAAAACTAGAGAAAGTGGATGTCAGTGTTTATGATGTAGCATCTTTGCAGGAAATATTGTCATGTAAAGAAATAATTTCTTTGAAAGATGTCTCAGTAAGAGTTGATCTGAAGGTTTCTGAACAAGAATGTTTTGATAACCGCTGTATAGAAATACCAAAAAATATCAACCTTAAACTCAGTATAAAATATTTTAATAACATTCAGAAACTATTAAATACCTTTAAGTTTCCAGAACATCTTTCATCACTGAGCCTTCATGATCTGTTTATTAATGAGAACTTTAAATTAGATCTTTCAGCTTTCCAGAAAGTTGAAAGTCTCTATATAAGGTGTAAGCCAAATATCGAAAATGAAAATAAATGCAAAAGTAGGGGCTCTGATATCAATGAGGCCATGGAAATTGATTTACCTAAGCAAGTACCTGACCATATGAGAATGCTGCCAAGGTGTACCTGGATGTTTCAACTCAAAATGAATCTCTCTCTCCCTCCAAATCTAGAAAGACTCATGCTAAGGAATGTGGAATTCTACAACAATTCAAATAATCATCTGTTGCTCGAGTTCTGTAAAAGCAATACAATTAAGAGGCTGGTAATCTTAGATTCTTTGCTTTCTTTGAAAGGTGTCAGAAAGGTAGTGAGTACTCATACTGACAGTGTTAATGACTTAGAGAAGATGACCAAAAAGTTGAGAGTGGACAGATCTCATAGTTCTGAAATGAAAGAATTTATTGATAAAAATCCCAGGCTCTCAGAATCAAACCGTAAAGAAAGGCGTCGGAAAAAGCCTCCAGGGAAGGAAATAATAATAACATCAGAGTTAGCCTTGTGCACAAAATGCAAAAAATTTCCTTGTGGGTGCCCACCACAGGCTGGAGAGGACAATAACGACACCTTTGAGGATCTGGTTAACTTAATTGAAGATATTTATCACTATGATATCCTGAGCTTCACATACACGAGCAATATCATATCAGTGAGGAAGGACTTGTGTCATGATCTCAAAGTCCACTTTGCTGTAACTATGCTGGATGATGCTGTTGCCTCAGCATTAGGTTCCACTAGTGATGGATTATGTCAGCTCTTTTTTAAATTAACTTTAGCACAATGTATCAGTTTTTATCACACTAATCTCTCAGACAATGGTGTTCTGAATGTCATTCATCATCTGAAGCATAACAAAGGAAGCTATTGTACAGATGGAGCACCTGAACCTTTCTCCTTAACAATAGAATCCTTTTGGCATCCTTCATCACATGAGACATTGTTTAGTGAACTCATTAAATTCATCAAAATTGAGAAGTGTTTAGCAGTGTTCAACTTTTGGTGTATGTGTCCAGTTAAATGCTATAAACTGAAGAAATTCCAAAGTGGTAACATACAGATGAATGATAAACCTATAAAGAATATGTAATAATAGCTGATAAATAATAAAGCCGGGATTTACCAACAATGAGTTTCCAAATTACTCAATGGCCTTTACGTTATTGGCATTATAAATTTAAGGTATTTATGGAACAAATACGATAACTTTTGAAAATAGGCACATACAGTTTAATAATACACATGTTGAATGAAATTATGACGTTGTAGCTAATTTAGTTTTGCTTGTGTAGACAAAGTACATAAATTCAAGATCATTGTAAAAAAATGGACCAATGTTTTTTAATAATAAAACATGCCAACAGCACATAAAAAGAAAAGGGAAACAAGCTTATGGTACGCGTCCTGGTTCTAGCTTGCTGTCACACTGAGCCTGGTGTCGGGGTGTGGTAATTGCAAAGGTTTCACTAAAATTTCAGTTCACTCTGAGTAGCAAAATGAGACCCTGTTTATCTACTGGTATAGAAACATGCCAACAGATTGAAGGACAAGGAAAAAGTGGAGAACAGTCATATGACATGACTTTCTTTTATTGTGGTAACTTGGTTAAACACGCGTCTTTTTCTTACCAGATAAGGTGCCCCCCCCCATCCCACCAAAAAAAAAATTCACCATCATTCATTCAGTTGCTGTCTTGCCAGAAGTACACAGACATCGCAATTGACTCTCCAGATCGCAGCATCCTCACTTGTCCCTCACAATGCAGGCGCTGTACTTCCCACTTCCGCAACTCAAGTTTATCAAACTGGTTTCACTGAAGTAGTCGTTATCATTGACTAGATGAAGCTCCACACTGAGGAGGTGCTTGCTCTGCATTTTTTCTTCATTGCTGTTTTTTTAGTTAGCTTAACTTGATGTTAATTTGTGGCCTAAAGTTGAAATATCATTGTATAAAATAATGAAAATTCTGCACCACAAGAATATTCGGAATGAATATCTTCATACCACTCCCTCTATGATATAAGAGGGTGCATCATGAAATTAATCCAAGTACAGGTCTCCCTCCACATTCATGAAGGTTAGGGGATCAAGAATCTCGTGAATGTTGAAAAATTGCGAATGTTTGGTGCACAAATATTTTATTTTTTTGATTAACACATCGGCAGATTCCCACCAAGGCAGGGTGGCCCGAAAAAGAAAAACTTTCATCATCATTCACTCCATCACTGTCTTGCCAGAGGGGTGCTTTACACTACAGTTACAAAACTGTAACATTAACACCCCTCCTTCAGAGTGGAGACACTGTACTTCCCATCTCCAGGACTCAAGTCTGGCCTGCCAGTTTCCCTGAATCCCTTCATAAATGTTACTTTGCTCACACTCCAACAGCATGTCAAGTATTAGAAACCATTTGTCTCCATTCACTCTTATCAAATACACTCATGCACGCTTGCTGGAAGTCCAAGCCCCTCGCACACAAAACCTCCTTTACCCCCTCCCTCCAACCCTTCCAAGGCTGACCCCTATCCCGCATTCTCTCTACATGTCTGAACCACCTCAACAACCCCTTCTCAGCCCTCTGGATAATAGTTTAGGTAATCCCACACCTTCTCCTAATTTCCGAACTACGAATTCTCTGCATTATATTCACACCACACATTGCCCTCAGATATGACATCTCCACTGCCTCCAGCCTTCTCCTCATTGCAACATTCATCACCCATGCTTCACACCCATACAAGAGTGTTGGTACAACTATACTCTCAAACATTCCCCTTTTTGCTTCCACGGACAAAGGAGTCTGTGGAGACAAAGAACTAAGTGCACCACTCACCCTTTTCCCCTCATCAATTCTGTGATTCACCTCATCCTTCATAGACCCATCTGCTGACATGTCCACTCCTAAATATCTGAATACATTCATGTCCTCCATACTCTCTCCCTCCAATCTGATATCCAATCTTTTGTCACCTAATCTTTTTGTTATCCTCATAACCTTATTCTTTCCTATATTCACTTTTAATTTTCTTCTTTTACATACCCTACCAAATTCATCCACCAACCTCTGTAACTTCTCTTCAGAATCTCCCAAAAGCACCGTGTCATCAGCAAAGAGCAAATTTGACAACTTCCACTTTGTGTTTGATTCTTTATCTTTTAACTCCACACCTCTTGCCATTCACTTCTCTTACAACCCCGTCTATAAATATATTGAACAACTACGGTGACATCACACGTCCTTGTCTAAGGCCTGCTTTTACTGGGAAATAATCTCTCCCTCTCCTACATACTCTAACTTGAGCCTCACTATCCTTGTAAAAACTCTTCACTGCTTTCAGTAACCTACCTCCTACACCATACACCTGCAACATCTGCCACATTGCCCCCTATCCACCCTGTCATATGCCTTTTCTAAATCCATAAATGCCACAAAAACCTCTTTACCCTTATTTAAATACTGTTCACCTATATGTTTCACTGTAAACACTTGGTCTACACACTCCCTACCTTTCCTAAAGCCTCCTTGTTCATCTTAATTCTTTCAATAATAACTCTACCATACACTTTACCAGGTGGTATAAACCTTGGTAATAAATACCGACAAGTTGGTTTAGAAAGACACGTAAACAAACACTATTACACCAATTGCCGTCACCGACACTATAGAACGTAACACTGGAAACTACAAAATTTCAAAAACATTAGCATACATGACAACACAGGAGTCACATGATTTCTTCGTCTACCCGTCCTCATCCCAACATGACACTCTTCAGGTCACCATGCATCACTCACACCCCACTTTCCACCTATATATATAATGTCTTTCTACCTCTGTATGTTAGAAGTGATCAAGGCCCCAGGACCGAAACGTTTTCTAATAACTATGTCATAGTGTTTGCTTACATGTCTTTCTAAACCACTTTACCAGGTATACTCAACAGACTTTTTCCCCCTATAATTTTTGCACTCTCTATTATTCCCTTTGCCTTTATACAAAGGAACTTGCATGCTCTCTGCCAATCCCTAGGTACCTTGCCCTCTTCCATACATTTATTAAATAATAGCACCAACCACTCCAAAACTATATCCCCTCCTGCTTTTAACATTTCTATCTTTATCCCATCAATCCCAGCTGCCTTACCCCCTTTCATTCTACGCACTGCCTCACGAACTTCCTCCACACTCACAACTGGCTCTTCCTCTCTCCTATAAGATGTTATTCCTCCTTGCCCTATACATGAAATCACAGCTTCCCTATCTTCATCAACATTTAACAATTCCTCAAAATATTCCTTCCATCTTCCCGATACCTCTAACTCTCCATTTAATAACTCTCCTCTCCTATTTTTAACTGTCAAATCCATTCGTTCCCTAGGCTTCCGCAACTTATTAATCTCACTCCAAAACTTTTTCTTATTTTCAACAAAATATGTTGATAACATCTCACCCACTCTCTCATTTGCTCTCTTTTTACATTGCTTCACCACTCTCTTAACCTCTCTTTTTCTCTCCATATACTCTTCCCTCCTTTTATCACTTCTACTTTGTAAAAACTTCTCATATGCTAACTTTTTCTCCCTTACTACTCTCTTTACATCATTCCACCAATCGCTTTTTTTCCCTCCCGCACCCACTTTCCTGTAACCACAAACTTCTGCTGAACACTAACACTACATTCTTAAACCTACCCCATACATCTTCGACCCCATTGCCTATACTCTCACTAGCCCATCTATCCTCCAATAGTTGTTTATATCTTACTCTAACTGCCTCCTCTTTTAGTTTATACACCTTCACCCCTCTCTTACTTGCTGCTTCTATTTTCTTGTACCCCATCTACCTTTTACTTTCACTGTAGCTACAACTAGAAAGTGATCTGATATATCTGTGGCCCCTCTATAAACATGTACATCCTGAAGTCTACTCAACAGTCTTTTATCTACCAATACATAGTCCAATAAACTACTGTCATTACGCCCTGCATCATATCTTGTATATTTATTTATCCTCTTTTTCTTAAAATACATATTACTTATAACTAAACCCCTTTCTATACAAAGTTCAATCAAAGGGCTCCCATTATCATTTACACCTGGCACCCCAAACTTACCTACCACACCCTCTCTAAATGTTTCTCCTACTTTAATTTTGGTAGGGGACCTAAATGCTACTCTCTCACTTGGTTCAAAGGTTCCTATACATTTGCTTAACATCTCCCAAAATCTCTCTCCTCTACACTCCTCTCTTCTCCAGGTGCATACACGCTTATTATGACCCACTTTTCACATCCGACCCTTATTTTAATCCACATAATCCTTGAATTTACACATTTATATTCCCTCTTCTCTTTCCATAACTGGTCCTTCAACATTATTGCTACCCCTTCCTTAGCTCTAACTCTCTCAGCTACTCCTGACTTAATCCCATTTATTTCTCCTCACTGAAATTCCCCTACCCCCTTCAGTTTTGTTTTGCTTAGGGCCAGGACATCCAACTTCTTTTCATTCATAACATCAGCAGTCATCTCTTTCTTATCATCCCAGTTTTATAATGTTTTTCTTCTTCTGATTTTTAGTAAATGTGTACAGAAGAAGGGGTAACTAGCCCATTGCTCCTGGCATTTATATGGCCTCATATGACACGCATGGCTTACGGAGGAAAGATTCTTTTCCACTTCCTTATGGACAATAGAGAAAAAAAAAAAACAAGAACAAGAGCTATTAAGAAAAAGAAGAAAAACCCTAGATGTATATATATATATATATATATATATATATATATATATATATATATATATTTTTTCAACAAGTCGGTCGTCTCAGGTTAGGGTGTGTAGAAGAGAGGGAGACTACTTCCCATTAAAAGTAGGTCTTAGACAGGGATGTGTAATGTCACCATGGTTGTTTAATATATTTATTGATGGGGTTGTAAAAGAAGTAAATGCTAGGGTGTTTGGGAGAGGGGTGGGATTAAATTATGGGGAATCAATTACAAAATGGGAATTAACACAGTTACTTTTTGCTGATGATACTGTGCTTATGGGAGTGTGTGTAAAGGTAGAAAGTTGAAAGTGAACATAGAAAAGAGT